GTGACTCATGCAGTTTAAATTAGGATGCACCACAGCTTTAGGAAAGTTATGAGTTCGTAACAAAGGCTGTTAAGGAAGACCTCAGTGACTGCCTTAAAGTTACCCAAGAAAGTTTTAGCTTAACATCATGCCAGACTTGAACGGTCTGTTATAAATGAGATGAAAAGAACTAACTCAATAACCTCTGTAAATATGACTGCTACAGCTGTTGTGCATAGAAATGCAGAGAAACAAGAGGCACGTCTTATTTTCACATCCCCTATCCCAGTGCAGGCTCCTCTGTCTATGGAGTTTTCCAGGCAAGAATACTGGAGTGGATTGCCATGCCCTCCTCCAGGGAATCTTCCCCACCCAGGTACTGACCCAGGTCTCCCGCATCGCAAGTGGACTTTTTCCCAGCTGAGCTGCCAGGGAAGCCTGAGAACAGTGGAGTGGGCAGCCTATCCCTTCTCCAGGGGACCCTCCTGACCCAGGAATCAAACCAGGTCTCCTGCCTTGCAGGCGGATTCTTTACCAGCTGAGCCGCCAGGGAAGCCTGAGAACAGTGGAATGGGTAGCCTATCCCTTCTCCAGGGGACCCTCCTGACCCAGGAATCAAACCAGGGTCTCCTGCCTTGCAGGGGGATTCTTTACCAGCTGAGCCGCCAGTGAAGCCCCAGTCTACTCTCTACTTTTGTTTAAATATATTTACTCTTCTTAAATGTCTCCTATGACTTTATCTTTGATGTGTCTTTTAGCTCAACTTTCAAAGTTCACTATTACTCTCAGTATTTGCTGTTACATTGCTACATTGTAAACTAAAACCCTTTAGTCACAAAATCCTAATCTATGAAAAAGTATGCATGTATATGAAAATATATGAAAAAATATACATAAAGGAACAAAATTGAAAAAATATCTAAAGAGGTAACTTTTAGACTATTACTTCATAAGACAGCTTTTGTCAATGTCATAAGTTATAAAGGTTAAATAGGTGTTTTGTGATTTTTAAGTATCTGATTTTCCGTGAGTGGAATTTATTCTTCAGTAATACCTACTCCATTCCCAACTCATGATGCTGTAACTATTCACTTTATGTTACTTAAAAAGCTAATGTATGATCCAATATGGCTGAAATTCTTATAAACAGAGAGAGACAGCAGGGATGCGGGTGCATAGAGAAAAGGCCACAAGGCCACAGCAAGAAGGCAGCCAATAGCAAGCCAAGGAGGAAGGTCTCAAGAGAAGCCAACTCTGCTAGCACTCTTATTTTGGACTTCTGGTCTCTAAAACTGTGAGAAAATACGTTTCTGTGTATAAGCTTAGAAAAGTTAGTATAAATACATGAGCATATACCAGCCTTCACTATAACTGATAGACTCTTTATCCATCTGTCAAGTTATAAACTTTTTCAACAAGTGAAAAGTTTTGTGAAATGGTACCATTTAGTAATGCAACACCATTATACCATGCATTAGTATCACCATTCCATGCATGTAAGTTAAACATACCAAGAAAAGAGGGCAGCTTTAAGAAAATGTGGTTCAAAATCTTTGGCACATGACCCAGAAGTCTAAATTTTCTTATGAAAAATAGACATCTGCATTTAAGTAATAAACTCAGCAGTGGCCACAGGACTGGAAAAGGTCAATTTTCATTCCAATCCCAAAGAATGCTCAAAGTACCATACAATTGTACTTATTTCACATGCTAGCAAGGTTATGCTCCAAATCCCTTAGGCTAGGCCTCAGCAGTATGTGAACCTAGAACTTCCAGATGAACAAGCTGGGTTTCAAAGAGGCAGAGGAACCAGAGATCAAATAGCCAGCATATGCGGGACCAGAGAGGAAGCAGTGGAGCCCCAGAAAAACCTCTATTTCTGCTTCACTGACGACAGTAAAGCCCTGACTGCCCCTGGAGAAGGAAACAGCAGCCCACTCCAGTCTTCTTGCCTGGAGAATCCCAGGGACAGAGCCGCCTGGTGCGCTATAGAGTCGGACACGACTTAGCGACTAAACCACCACCAGCACAAAACCTTTGACTGTGTGGATCACAACAAACTATGCAAAATTCTTAAAGACATTCCCATCTCTTTAAGAGATCAGACCACATCACCTGTCTTCTGAGAAACATGTATACAGTACAAGAAGCAACAGTTGAAACCAGACATGGAACAACACACTGGTTCAAAACTGGGGAGGAGGAGGACAACGCTGTATGCTGTCACCTGCTGTTTAGCTCCTATGCAGACCACATCATGGGGAACGCTGGGCTGGACGAGTCACAGGCTGGAATCAACACTGCCCGGAGAAACAATCAATAACCTAAGATGTGCAGATGATACTCTTCCAAAGGCAGAAAGTGAGCCACTTGATGAGGGTCAAAGTGCAGAGTGAAAAAGCTGGCTTAAAATTCAACATTCAAAAAACTAAGATCATGGCATCTGGTCCCATCACTTCATGGCAAATAGAAGGAAAAAAGTGGAAGCAGTGACAGACTTTCTTTTCTTGGGCTCGAAAATCACTGCAGATAGTGACTGCAGCCATGAAATTAAAAGACACTTGTTCCTTGGAAGGAAACCTATGAAAAACCTAGACAGCGTATTAAAAAGCAGAGACATCACTTTGCCAACAAAGGTCTGTATAGTCAAAGCTGTAGTTTTTCCAGGGGTCATGCACAGATCTGAGAGTTGGTCCATAAAGAAGGCTGAGTACTGAAGAATTGACGCCTTCAAACTGTGGTAGAGAAGACTCATGAGAGTCCCTTGGGCAGCAAGGAGATCAAACCAGTCAATACTAAAGGAAACCAGCCCTGAATATTCATTGGAAGGACTGTTGCTGAAGCTCCAGTACTCTGGCCATCTGATGCAAAGCTCCGACTCATTGGAAAGACTGATGCTGGGAAAGACTGAAGGCAAAAGGAGAAGGGGGTGACAGAGGATGAGATGGTTAGATAGCAACACCGACTCAATGAATATGGTTTTGAGCAAACTCTTGAAGATAGTGGACAGAAGAAACTAGGATGCAGGTCCATGAGGTCTGAGAGAGTCAGACATGACTTAGTGACTAAACAACAACAATAATTTCAAATATTTTAAAACCAAAACTTTAAGCTAAGTGAACAAAGAATTATAAAATATGTATAAAACTTCAGGGAAATAATAAAATATGTAGTGGACAAAAAACATCTATTTTACAGTTTCAACCCTAGAATGACTAATATCTCAGCATCACTAGATCAACTAAGACTATGTACCTTATATACTCTGCTGTACAAGCTCATAAATGAAATATTTTAAATATAATTTCTTTATTCTGCTAAATACTGCTAATGAAAATTCAATGTATATAGAAATTTGTTACTATGTTATTCTCTAGTCCAAATTCCTTTGAAACTACAGGTCCTCTGGGAAGCAAATATAAAGTGAATTTTTCCTATTTTTTTAACTGTTAGATAACTCAGACATAAAGAAAGGTTGAACTAAAATTTTACTTTTTAAATGTAAAAATTTATATAACATAAACTAATATAAAGTCTAACAAAGAACTTTATATACCCTCAATCAAACCAAATAAAATTAAAGAATTTTCCATAGCTTCTACTAGAAGTAGGTAGTGAATACTGACATACATAGTCATATTGTGTATGTGTGTGTGTGTGTGGCTATTTCTAAATGTGAAAACACTATGAAACAACACCTGGCTCAACTCTTTTAATTTATATACAAAGCAAAGAACAATATGAATAGAGATATACAATGATTATTTAAATATGCTATACATATGTACAAAGGCAAAGAGATAATAAAACAGTCTCTGCAGTCTCACTCTGATTATATACAGTAAGAAAGGATCAAAAGAGTTTGAAACCTTGGGGACTTCTGATATACAAACTCTTCTTGAAAATGTTGGTTATAAATGATTACAAAAGTACAAATTATAGCCAATCAATATATTGTTCTGGCTGGTCCATTTCAGTAGATTCAGAAAATCCATCAAATCCTTTGGATACTAGGTAGTTTCCAAGTGGAATGGTAGTATGACTTTAAAAGGGTTCTGCCCTCAGTAACAGTGCTAAGTAAAGGGCACTTTAGATTCCAAATTGGAATAGGTTCTATCACGTTTTTTAAGCAGAGTCAATAGCCTCTAAGAATAGGTAAATAATAAAGCAAACCAAGTTAATTATATGGTAAGTCTTTTTTATTACCATTTTTATTGAGATGACCCTAGCTCTTCTATAAATTACATGTAGTTTTGTGTATGTATGTGACAGTGTGTGTGTATCATACACATATAAATACTAGAACCTATGATATAAACAGAAATAATAGGGCAAAAACAAGTGAAAAAAATTGGACCGTAGGTTTAAACTCATTTTTAAGTAAACCAATAAATTTATGGCTAGTAAAGGCTTTTTTTCCTATTTAAAGAGCAATCTTTTTCTGGGGAACAAAATAGTGAAAAGTAGTATAATAAAGACCAAGATGGGAAACCTTGGACTAAAGTTTGAATCCGGGTAACAAGCCCAAAGACATGAGAAGAAAAAGGTCATGGTTTCAGGAGTTCAGCATGCAGTTTATGATAAACTTTCTGACAAATGATGTCCTTGGATTCCTTGCCAATGGACCCAGGGATCCGAGAGATTCAAACCAGGGAGAGTTTACACTTACCTTTATATCAGCAATTTTCAGTATCTGTGACATTGCACTAGAACTTTTTTTTAAAGAAGAGTAATATCCAGAATGACAAATTGCAGATTTATTGTATAAAATTTCTAGGAGCTTTAAGTTTAAACCCCCAGATTCTTCATCCATACATGTTCTTGCTATAAGAAATTACAGAATTGAAATTTAATGCACCTCAATTATTTGCAAATGCCTCAGTTATTCCTCTTTTGGAAATAAAAGAATCTTAGACAATGTTGTTATTATCACAAACCTAGAGATCAATCATATATTTGAAAAGAAATACCTCTTAAAATATTTTACCTCCTGTCACTGAGAACTGTTCATCCAGTGTTACTTCCCAATTTTTTCAGGAAACTGCCTACAAAGCTGAAAATGATTAGAAAATTTTTAAGTTTTAAAATCTCTTTCTCATTTTAGGAGAAACCAAATACCCAACCATCAAAATTAAAAATAAATTGAATTGGCACAGTCCATTACAGTTATTGTTACTAGATCCACTTCATTTGCAGGTGTCCAAAATAGAAAATGAATAATTCTTTATCTTCAAATACGTATGTTCCTAAAATGCTACTTAAAGCTTTGGTTGTTTTCCTGTAATAAAGAAGAAAATGTTAATTTACCAATTAGGTTGAATGAATGTAGCTTTTAATAATTATTTTATTGAACAAGTTCTGTGGCTTACTGTTTGCAGATCTAAATGCATGTTTCTATAGAAACTATTAAAGTAACCAGCATTTGTCAAATAAAACAGTTTTTCATAGAAGAACATATGCAATTCATTTTAACACAGATTATATTCCAAACCAGCTCTGTTTCTGTAGTACCTAATTTTTTAACAATGTTATTAATGCAAAAAACAAAAGTAAACTCGATTTGAGTGTATATCATTTGTCCAAAATAAAGTGAACCCTGTAGGTTCCAAGGCTGGGTAGATTCAGGCCAAACAGCTAACAGTGAGGGACAACATCTCTCATGGGACAACAGCCCCAACCATCAGCAGAAAAGCAAATTCAAGCTTTAGTGAGCATGGCCCCTGCTAACCATACCAAGATCCAGTTCTAATCACCACCAGTCCCTCCCATCAGGAAGCTTGCACAGCCTCCTAAGTAGCCTCATTCACCAGAGGGCAGAGAGCAGAGGCAAAAAGAACTACAATCCTGCAGCCTCTAAAACAAAAACCATAACCACAGAAAGTTAAACAAGAAAGGGAGAGGATCATAAACAGATGAAGAACAAGATAAAACCTCTCCAAAAAAATCTAAATGCAGTGGAGATGGGCAACCTTCCAGAAAAAGGATTCAGAATAATGACAGTGAAAATGACCTGGGATCTGGGGAAAAGAATGGAGGCAAATTGAGAAGATGCAAGAAATGTTACACGAAAGCTCAGCCAATAAAGAATCTGCCTGCAATGCAGGAGACCTGGTTTGATCCCTGGGTCGGGCAGATCTCCTGGAGAAGGACATGGCAACCCACTCCAATATTCTTGCCTGGAGAATTCCATGGACAGAGGAGCCTGGTGGGCTACAGTCCATGGGGTTGCAAAGAGTCAAACACAACTGAAGCAACTAAGTAAAAGCACTAAAGAACAAACAGAGATAAATACAATAACTGAAATATAAAATACACTAGAAGGAAACAACAGCAGAATAACTGAGGCAGAAGAATGGGTAAGTGAGTTGAAAGAATGGTGAAAATAACTGCTGATGAGCAGAATAAAAAAGGATGAAATAAATGAGGACAGTCTCAGAGACCTCTGTGACAATATGCAACACACCAACATTCAAATCACAGGGGTCCTAGAAGAAGAGAAAGGGAAAGGCCTGAAAAAATACTTGAAAAGATTACAGTCAAAAAATTGTGTAATATGGGAAAGGAGACAGTCAATCAAGTCAAGGAAGCACAGAGTCCCAGACAGAATAAACCTGAGGAAGAACACATTGAGATACATAGTAATGAAATTGACAAAAATCAAGGACAAACATAAAATATTAAAACAACAAGGGAAAAAGGACAAAAAATATACAAGAGGAACTCCCATAAGGTTATAGGTTCAATTCTCAGAAGAATCTCTGCAAGCAGAAGGGAGTGGCATGATATATTTTAAGTGGTAATAGGGAATAACCAAGAATAATCTACCAAGGAAAGCTCTCATTCAGAGTTGATGGAGAAATCAAAAGTTTTACAGGCCAACAAAAGCTAGGACAAATAAAATGATAAACAAAAGCACCAAAGCAGCTTTGCAACAAATGTTACAGGAATTCCTCTAAGGGGGAAAGAGAGTACCAACTTAAAAAAAAAAACCCAAACTTGTAGATATAGGTACTGTTATATCAAAACTTCCTTAAAAAACTAGGAATAAAACCAACATACGACCCAGCAATCCCACTACTAAACATATACCCTGAGGAAACCAAAATTGCAAAAGGACATATGTATGCCAATGTTCATTGCAGCACTATTCATAATAGCTAGCACATGAAAAGCAACCAAGATACCCATCAACAGATGAATGGATAAAGAAGCTGTGGTGCAAGTAAGCCAGAAAGAGAAATATAAATATCATATACTAACGCATATATATGGAATCTAGAAAGATGATACTGAAGAATTTATTTCCAGGGCAGCAATGGAGAAACAAGACATAGAGGACAGACCTAAGGACATGCGGGCAGGGGAGGAGGGAGAGTATGGGATGTATGGAGACACGAACATGGAAACTTACATGACCATGTGTAAAACAGACAGCCAACGGGAATTTGCTGTATGGTTCAGGGAACCCAAACAGGGGCTCTGCAACAGTCTAGAGGGTGAGATGGGGAGGGAGATGGGGGGAGGCTTAGGAGGGAGGGGACATGGGTGTACCTATGACTGATTCTTGTTGATGTTTGACAGAGAACAACAAAATTGTGTACAGCAATTATCCTTCAATTAATTAAAAACAAAATGAACCAAAAAAACTTCATGTGTGCTCAGTTGCTCAGCTGTTTTTGAATCTCTGCAACCCCATGGACTGTAGCCTGCCAGGCTTCTCTGTCCATGGGATTTTCCAGGTAAGAATACTGGAGTGGGTTGTCATTTCCTATTCCAAGACCTTCTGGAAATCCGAAGACAGAAAGAAAAAGCTACCCAAACATAACAATAAAGATGGTCATCAAACTACAAGAGAACAAAAGAGGGGGGAAGAAAAAAGGCCTACAAAAACAAACCCAAAATAATTAAGAAAATGGCAATGGAAATATACATATTGATAATTATCCATAAATGTAAACAGATTAAGTGTGCCAGTGAAGAGACAAAGACTGGTAGGGTGGATACAAAAACAAGACAAGTATATATGCTGTCTATAAGAGACCAACCTCAGACCTAGAAACACAAACACAGGGGAAGTGAGGGGATAGAAGGTTTATCACACAAATGGAAATCAAAAGAAAATGGAATTATCAATACTCATATCAGACAAAATTGACTTTAAAACAAAGACTGTTATAATAGACAAAAAAAGATACTTCCCAATGATAAAGGGATCAATCTAAGAAGATGTAACAATTGTTAAATATATGCATCTAACACAGGGGCACCTCAATATATAATGGAAATACTAACATCCATAAAGGAAAAAAATTGACAGTAACACAATAATACTGGAGGACTTTAACTCCCCCACTTTCATCAATGGAGAGATCATCCAGACAGAAAATCAATAAACAAACACAGGGTTAATGACACGTTAGACCAGATACATTTAACTGATATTTATAAAACCTCCCTCCTAAAGCAGCAGAACACACAGAAGCAGAAGCTGAAGTGCACAAAGAACACTCTCCAGGACTGACCACAAGCTGAGCCACGTGAAGTGAGCCTTGATAAACTTAAGAAAATAAAGTCATATCAAGTATTTATCCAATCACAGATCACAGCACAATGAGATTAGAAGTGAACCACAAGAAAAAAAGTTATAAAAATACAAACAGGAGGAAGCTAAGCCATATGTTACTAAACAATGGGTCACTGAATAAATCAAAAAAGAAATAAAATATGCCTAAAGACAAATGAAAGTGAAAGCACAATGATCTAAAGCATATGGGATCCTGCAAAAGCAGTTCTAACATAGAAGTTTATAGTAATACAATTTTACCTCAAGAAATAAGAAAAATGTCAAATAAACAACCTAACCTTACAACTAAAACAACTAGAGAAAGAACAAACAAAACCTAAAGTTANAATGGTAGGACTTTGCTGTTTATCCTTTCTATATACAATAGCTGGCATCAAAGACATCGTCTTGAAGCAGAATAACAGACACACACACGTACACATACACATGTCATACCAAGGGAAAAAACTTAGGGTCAAAAAACTGCAAAATAGGGCTATATTCCTCTGATATTTTAAACATTTCTGTAAATCAGGATTACTTAACCAAATACTACTAACTCAGGTCAGTTGATTCCTCCCGTTTACACCTCCAGACTATGTTTTCAACAGCTGGAGGCAGCAGAGCTTCTCTTTAGACTTCCCTCACGTTCCTAGCTTAATCTGATCAGTTGGTACCCAGTGGCATCCTCTGGCTTGCTACCTGGAGCGAACAGCTCACATCTATAGTTGGTGGGTAACAGACTGGTAGATTATTATCATAGTGATGTACTATATACATTTTTGTTCACATGCCCAGATACTTGCTAATCTAAGAACTAGAGGTTTTGCAGTTTTCTTACATACCTCAAACAATTTCAGAACACTTCAGAGATATAACATGACTTTTTTTGGGGGGTTATCAATTTTAATATATATATGTATATATATATACATTTAAAATAAATAATTGTTTTACAAAAACAGGGGTACTTTTTCCTTTTGGAGGGCTAGGAGAAGGGAGTGTGTGGCGTGGCCTGGACCAGCCTGAGACGAGCATGAGGTAAGAGGAATCTAGGGGGACACCAAGGTGGAAGAGGCCATCAGAATAACTTTTCTGTTGTTGTTTTAAGAAATTCTACAAAAGTAAAAATGTTCCTTCTAACCCAACTATTTTTGTGAGAGGGTAAACTGAGTCCTTCTAACCCAACTATTTTTGTGAAAGGGTTAAACCATGCTGAGTTGGATGAATCACAAGTTAAAATCAAGATTGCTGGAAGAAATATCAACAACCTCTGATACGCAGATGATACCACTGTAATAGCAGAAAGTGAAGAGGAACTAAAGAGCCTCTTGATGAGGGTGACAGAATGAAAAACCTGGCTTGAAACCCAACATTCAAAAAACTAAGACCATGGTATCCGGTTCCATCACTTCACGGCAAATAGATGGGGAAGAAGTGGAAACAGTGAGAGACTTTATTTTCTTGGCCTCTAAAATCACTGCAGATGGTGACTGCAGCCATAAAATTAAAAGACGCTTGCTCCTTGGAAGAAAAGTTATGACCAACCTAGACAGCATATTAAAAAGCAGAGATATTTGACAGAAAACATCAAAATTCTATAAAGCAAGTATTTTTCAATTAAAAAATAAATAAGTTATAAAAAGAAGCAGACATTACTTTACCAACAAAGGTCCATATAGTCAAAGCTATGGTTTTTCCAGTAGTCATGTATGGATGTGAGAGATGGACTATAAAGAAAGCTGAATGCCAAAGGATTGATGCTTTTGAACTGTGGTGTTGAAAAAGACTCTTGAGAGTCCCTTGGATAGCAAGGAGATTAAACCAGTCAATCCTAAAGGAAGTCAACCCTGAATATTCATTGGAAGGACGGATGCTGAAGTTGAAGCTCCAATACTTGGGTCACCTGCTGCGAAGAGCCGATTCATTAGAAAAAACCCTGATGCTGGGAAAGACTGAAGGAAGGAGGAGAAGGGGATGACAGAGGATGAGACGGTTGGACGGCTGCTGTCCATGGGGTTGCAGAATCAGGCAGGACTGAGCGACCGGACAAGAGCAACAAGAGCTGCCATGTGACCCTACAGTCTCACTCCTGGGCATACATTCAGAGAGAATCATGGTCTGCAAGGATGAGTGCACCTCAACGTTCAGTGCAGCACGGTTTACAACAGCCAAGACATGGACACAACCTAACTGTCTGGTGACAGAGGAGTGGGTAAAGATGATGTGGAACATATATACAATGGACTACTACTCAGCCATTAAAATAAAGAAATAATGTCATGTGCAGTAACATGGATGGACCTGGAGATTGTCAATAGTGAAGTAACTGACAGAGAAGAAGAAGAAATATCATATGACATCCTTTATATGAGAATCCAAAAAGAAATGATACAAATGAACTTTACAAAACAGAAACAGACTCACAAACTTAAAGAAAAATTTATGGTTGCCAGTGGGGTGAAGATGGGGTAAGGGGTGGTTAGGGAAGTTGGGATCGACATGTACACACTGCTATATTTACGATGGATAACCAACAAGGTCCTACTGTTTAGCACAGAGAACTCTTCTCAGTGCTATGTGGCAGCCTGGATGGGAGGGGAGTTTGTGGGAGAGTGAATATATGTATATGTATGGCTGAGTCCTTTTACTAGCCACTTAAAACTACCACAGCATTGTTAATTGACTATACACAACAAAATGTTTCAAAAAAATAAAGGCAAAGAAACAGCAAAGTCATGTTGCAGAACATGTTGTTCTACTGTATAAAAAAGTACCTGAACAGGACAGACAGCCTGTAAACAGACCACACATAAACATAAAACTAGATGGCAGATATTCTGCTAGATATTGCTAGGATGACTGGATATCCATGCAGTAAAAAATAAAACTTCATCTGTATCTCATAATATATAGTAAGATCACCTGTGTATCTCACAACCTATAGTAAAACCAATCATAAGTTAGTTGAAAAACAAAACAATAAGACTTTTAGAAGATAATGTAGGATCTCCTTCCATGACCTTTCAACAGAAAAGTATTCCCTAAAATGTAATTCCATCCTATTTGTTGACAAGAGTGGTGATTAGTTACATAATTGGTCATATATTTAGATTTATGTACTTTTCTGAATTATATTTCACAATGAGAAAGATTAAAAATGTTTAAAAGGCAAATATTTTAGAATTAAAATAATATGGAAATCTCTGGTATATATTTAAAATGATACAAAATTAGAAAATGCTTACTGGTTTCTGAAGGACAATAGGATGATCAGGTAGAAAGTCTGGTTTTTTCCTGCAGATGGAAACACTTGAGAGCTTCAACAGGAAATCTCTGCTGTATTTGATTCTCTCTGTAGATAGGGAACATCAAACGTAATGTTATAAAGCACAGAGTCTCTCAGAGCACCTTTGACTCCTTTCTCACTAGATGTCCGTTATCAGTCCATTATTTTATAAAATGTAAGTAGTTTTTAACATAAAGGAGAAGGGAGGAGCATAAACTCTGACAAACATCTACTGCCTCCCATCTTCCTTTTACATGGAAACAAAGCCAATTAGCCATGGAAAAATTTCAGAACATTGGAAATGCATGGCTTCTTTAATATGGTTATTCACAAGCAGTAGAGAAATCTTATAAAATATAGCAGGTATAATACCTATTGGGCAATTCATATCCTGCCAAAGTGGAACTCTACTAAGCCTATCTTTATGTTTTTGAATTAACTTGTGAAAAATTTATACAATCAACATGAATTCAAGAAATATCTATTGTATACCTATTGTGAATCAAGGACTATTTGAGGTAATGGTGACAAAGCTCCAAGATAGCATCCCTAACTTTAAAGGGAACAATGATTCAAATACCTGCAGATTTCTCATCAGAGACTATCACCGTCTTGGTCTATACTGGACATTTTCTGGGCCAGAAATAGTGGAGCTGTAATTTTTAAAATGCTAACAGAAAAGGACTGGCAACCGAGATTTCCATATTGTGAAATAAAGACTATATATTGCTCTGGTTCCTGGTACAGAGATTCTTTTCCTTTTAATTTCCTAAGTGATAAGAACACTAAGAGCATCTTTCGTTCTAATATTTCTTTATTGACCCTGGACTCCTAACACAGAGCTCCTAAATTCCTTAAAAATTTCTGGGTGATTTGGTCTTCTGTTCTAGTGAGATGATTCTCGGTGGGATCCTGGGTAGTGGTTGGTCAGCTAAAAGACCAAGCAATGATGAGAAGCGTGGACCTTTCAGCCACATACCTATATCCTCTGAAGGGGACAGGGGTTGCAGATTGAGTTAAAGATAGATTGTGCCTGTGTGATGAAGCCTCCAAGAAAATCCCCAAATTACAAGATTTGGGGGACTCCCTGGTGGCTCAGTGTTAAAGAATCCACCCATCAATGCAGCAGATGTGGGCTTAATTCTAACCCAGGAAGATCCCACAGCCCGTGGAGCAACTAAGCCCGTGCGCAACTACTGAGTCTGTGCTCCGGAGACTGGGAGCCACAGCTGCTGAAGCCCCTGCACCTCGGAGCCCGTGCTCAGCAACGACAGAATCCCCGCAACTAGACGCCTACGCACTGCAACTCGAGAGCAGCCCGAGCTTGCCGCAGAGAGAAAAGCCCATGCAGCAGTGAAGACCCAGCACAGTGAAAAATAAATAGACGAAAATTTTAAAACAAACCTGTTTAAGAAAAAAAGTTCAGGGTCTGGAAAGTTTCCGGGTGGGTGAACACATCCATCTACCAGAAGAGTGATATTATCAAATCTGTGGGGAAGAAACTCTTGCACTTCGGGTCCCTTCAAGACTTTGCTTCATGTATCTGTTTATTTGGCTATTCAGTTGTTTTCTTTTCTTTTTAAAATATTTTGTGGTTTTAAAACTGGAGGATAATTACGTTATAATATTGTGATGATTTCTGCCATATATCAACAGGAATCAGCCATAAATATACATATGTTCCCTCCCTCTTAAAACTCCTTCCCACCTCCATCCCCACCCCACACCTGTAGGCTGTCACTGATCACAGGCGTTGGGTTCCCTGCATCATACAGCACGTTCCCATGGCTATCTATTTTACATATGGTAATTATATGTTTCAATGCTACTCTCTCATATCATCCCACCCTCTCCTTCCCTGACTATGCCAAAAAGTCTGTCCTTAAAAAACTTGACTTAAAACTCAACTTCAAAAAACTAAGATCATGGCATCCAGTCCATGATGGCAGATAGATGGGGAAACAATGAAAACAGTGAGAGACTTTTTGGGGGGGCTCCAAAATCACTACAGATGGTGACTGCAGCCATGAAATTAAAAGACACTTGCTCCTTGGAAGAAAAGCTATGACCAACCTAGACAGCATATTAAAAAGCAGAGACATTACTTTGCCAATAAAAGTCCGTCTAGTCAAGGCTATGGTTTTTCCAGTGGTCATGTATGGATGTGAGAGTTGGACTATAAAGAAAGCTGAGCACTGAAGAATTGATGCTTTTGAACTGTGGTGCTGGAGAAGACTCTCGAGACTCCCTTGGACTTCAAGGAGATCCAACCAGTCCATCCTAAAGGAGATCAGTCCTGAATATTCATTGGAAGGACTGATGCTGAAGCTGGGAAGTTCCAATACTTTGGCCACCTGATGCAAAGAACTGATTCATTTGAAAAGACCCTGATGCTGGGAAAGATTGAAAGCAGGAGGAGAAGGGGACAACAGAGGATGAGATGGTTAGATGGCATCACCAACTTGATGGGCATGAGTTTGAGTAAGCTCCGGGAGTTGATGGACAGGGAAGGCTGGAGTGCTGCAGTCCATACAGTCACAAAGAGTCAGACACGACTGATCAACTGAACTGAACTGATGGTTACATGATACTGTACATTTATAATGGCTTAAGTAATGAGTTTTACTTCAATAAAAGAGATGAAAAAAGAAACCTAAGGATTGTAAAGAGGATGTCTCCAGATAAAAACAGTAAAATTCATTCCAGGACAACAGTTTCAGAGCAGTACTGAAGAGGAATTAATCCGTACTGGAAACAGACAATGGAGCAGTCTAAAAGAAAAGTCATCTCCAGGGGAAAAAATACCAATTCATACATTTTACCATAAGGAAAATATAGATAAGTGTGGCAGAGTTGCTGGAGTTTGCCATCAGTTGATGGCAAAATTAACAACAGTTACATAGAAAAACAAGGTGAACATGAGCTTCAGAAAAAAGGATGGATTTTATGAATCAGGTATGTACCTTTCAGCTAGGCTACTGAAATTACACAGTTATATATAATATAAAGAGTGATGATACTCTAACTGAAACTTAAGTAACTATATGGTGGAGAGGGGGTAGATAGAAGAGCTGAAGAAATGAGGGGACTGATGTGGAAGATATAAGGCCTCATCTTCCAAAAGAGGTTGTCAAAATATAATATAGAAATGAAAAATATAGAAACAATTTAAATATTTTATTTAGAATACGGAGTTAAGTACTAGAAGAAAATGTTAACAGGGTTTAATTACATATAAATTACATATACAGACTGGTTGACAAAATTTGGAAACTACATTAATAAAAAACCTTTATTTTAATAAAAAGTAGCTGGTGTGGGAGAGACTATGGGTTTTCCCCAAGAGCAGTTCCTCCTTTCTGCTTCTGTGATAAAGTGAGCTGGTTGCAAAGCTAAAGGTTACATTTTCCAGTCTGCTTTGTACAGCATGACTAAGTTCCAGCCAATGAGACATTAAGTGGAAGTTATATACGCAACTTCTGAGTCATAGTTTTAAGAATCTTCTTCCTCCCTACTTCCTTCCTGATGGCTAGAAAGAGAATGTGATGGCCGGAGCAGAGGCATTCATCTTGGGCAGTAAGATAGAAGCCATGTATTAAAGATGGTAAAACCGTAGGACAGTTTAATACTGGGGCTAGTAGCAACTTCACAGAACAGAATTAATATACCAGCTTAAAATTTTACATATTACAGAAGATATAGAAATCAACTTCTATCTTGTTTGTCACTGTAATGATAGTCTCCTCTTTAAAGCAGTCAAACCTATAATTTGTAATATACAGAAATCAATCAAAAGAATATAATAAAATTTCTAATGTACATAAGGTTTGCAGGTAAGCAAATATTAACTGTACATGAATGCTAAGAATCTCTTATGAAAGTTGGTAATTATGGTAAAAATTTACCTTTTTTAACTGGAGAATGATGTTGTTGTTCATTAAGACCTTGAGAAAAGGCTTGCATTCCATTCGTCTTACACTATTTATAGAAGAAAAAAAATACACTTTTTAGCTAAGGTTTTAAAATTTTATATAACACTTTGTTTTTAATACATTTTGAGTTTATTTTTGCACACGTTGTTAGGGAGTATTCTAATTTCATTCTTTTACGTGCAGCTGTCCAGTTTTCCCAGTACCATTTATTGAAAAGACTGTCTCTTCTCCACTGCATAGTCTTGCCTCCTTTGCCACAGATTCAGTGACTACAGGTGCCCGGGATTATCTCTGGGCTTTCTACCCTGTTCCATTGATTTATATGTCTGTTTTTGTGACAGTACAATACTGTTTTGATGACTACAGCTTTGTAGTATAGTCTGAAGTCAGGGTGCTTAATTCCTCCGACTCCATATTTCTTTCTCAAGGTTGCTTTGGCTATTTTGATCTTTTGTGTTTCCATAATACAAGTTAACTTGATTGTGGTAATCATATCACAATGCATATGTATATTAAATCATCAGGTTGTATACCTTTAAAACAAACCATGTTGTATAGCCTAAGTGTATTCAATTTGTATTTGTCAACATATCTGAATAACACTGAAAAACAGTAAATTTATTCTATCATGCCTGCACATATTAGCCACTGAAAATGGAGATAATTTCAAATCTTTCATAGTATTTAAGAAAATGCACCTACTAAAATTTTCTAAAGTGTCTTACCTCATTTAATTGTCTTATCTCATTTAATTGTCATAGTCTTACAAGGAAATAAGGCAAGCATTACAATCACCGTACTACAGGCAAGGGAAATCAAGACAAAAAGTATTTAGTAACAAATCCCAAAGTACACAGGTAAGAGGTAGTTGAGATAGCTTTTGAAACTGATGGCTACTGCATATAGTTATTAAGGATGTGCATCTGAAGGGGTACCACTCATAGCATGGATATAGCAGATTTCCTACCAGCTGGCAGCAAAGTATATTCTTTTAACAAAATCTGCACTTTTGTATAATTTTCTGTTCCTCTTCTAATTCTTGTAAAGGCACCAAGTGGGCAGCAGTAGACTTTTTAAACCCACTCATTTATCAAAAACAAAGTGCTTGTTACATGACTGACAGTGTGCTTTGTATTGGGAAGACAAAGATGAACACAACAGCCCAGGATTCATTTTTGGAGGACTCATAAACTAAAAGGTAGGCAGAACAATAAAATACTAAATCATAATAAAACTTGAGAAGTTCTCTAAATAAAGATATGCAGAAAGTACAATGGGAGGAAGGGGCATCAAATTTGACTTAAAAATTTCAGGAAAGGCTTTACATGGGAAATGATGCATAAACAATATTTATAGGGTTAATAGGAGTTAGAACTGGATGACGACTGAAAAATGTGTGTTTATTGAAGAAAAGCAGCCTTGAGTTGGAAAGCATGGTACTAAATAGCTAGCTCAGGGAATGAAAAAAGTTAAATAGGCTTGAGTAAATCAAAATAAACACCCGGCTTTTTTCCCCAAGGCAAGGCATGTTGCAATTTGCAGTAAAATACCCCATCTGCATGCCCAGGTATTCTATTGAGCCTCTTCAATTTTCTAGCAAAAATGTTTCCAGCCCCTCTCACTCATTTTACACAAATGCACACAAGAGACAAATTCATATCAACATCCATTTCAGGGTGAAAATTTAAACAGGAAGATTTATAAACAATATCAAAAGACAAAATCTAAACAGGAAAAATACTCTTAAAGAGCTAATTTCTGTAGTATGAAAGAGCTCCTAGAAAACAATGAAGCCTATAAAAAAGGAAAGGTTAAAGTCCTTAAATTGGTAAATACAGATGAAAGGAAATTCATATTACTCTTAAACAGATCAAAAATGGTCACAAATTCTTGACATTCTTTCATCTCTCCACTGAATCTGAGCAAGATCCGTGACTGCTCAAGACCAATCTAAAAATGACAGGCTAAAAATGACCATCTAAAAATGACAGGCTGGTTTCCAGGCCTCAGTCTTGAAGCCCAGACACTGTGCTGTGAAGAGCCCAAGGCCTTTGGGGAGGCCGTTTGTAGGGGCTGCCTCCAGTCTACGGGGCAGATAACTCTGAACCGAGAGCCAGCATCAACTACCAGCCGTGAGTGAGCCACCGGGCCATTCAATCCCGTCAAGACTTTAAAGCACTCCAGGCCTAGACGCTATCTGACTGCAGCCACATTACTGAGAAATGGCCACTGAAACCCAGTAAGACCACAGACCCATGAAAGAGAGTAACAAGGAGTTGTTAAGTCAATGTTTTCCAGAGAAGGCCTGGAGGGCTGCCGTCTATGGGGTCACACAGAGTCGGACACGACTGAAGTGACTTAGCAGCAGCAACAGCAAGTCAATGTTTTCAAGTAATTTTTGTGAGGTATTAACAAAAAAAACAGACTAAAAGAAGTCGTTCAGGCAGAAGGAAGGTAATGCCAGACATAAACATGGATTTACATAAAGAAATTAAGAGTGCTGGAAAAGGAATAAATGAAGGTAAAATAAAATTCATCCTTATATTTTAAAAAATTATTTTAAAAGATAGTATACAAAAGCAAAAATTAGTAACAATGTATTGTGTATTTATAGTACAAACCATAGTAAAATTCTGACAATAGAGAAAAATGGGAGGGAAAATGCTATAAAAAGGTTATGAGATCTAAGAAGTGAGTTTAACAAGGTCAATGTACAAAAATCAGTAGTATTTCCGTATTCTAACATCCAAAATGTGGAATTTGAAATTTATAAAAAAAATACCACTTACAATAGTATAAAAAAATACAAAATGCTTATAAGTTTGACAAGAGTTCAAGACCCCTATGCTGAAAAATACAAAGCACAGAGAGAAATGTTTTGCTTATGGATCAGAAGACAATATTAAGATGGTAATTCTTTTCAAACTAATTTTCAAACAATCAGAATTCCAATAAGCCTTTTTGGTAGAAATTTACGGGTTCATTTAAAACTTCTGTGGAAATGCAGAGGATCCAGAATAAGAGAAATAAGTCTGAAAAACTATAAAGTTAGTGAATTTTCATTATCTGACTTATCAGAAAGCTACAACAGTCTGTAAAATTTGATGTGGACCTAGAGATAGGTAATCTAGGTAATCTAGTGTACAGCAAGATGGCTATAGTTGACAGTACTGCATTGCATACTTGAAAGCTGCTAAAAGAACAAATCTCATACTGATGTCAACAAACTCTCATGATTCAGTGAAAGAAAGGTATACAACCCAAACAGTAAAAACATGCAAAAGATTTGAACAGACAATTCACCAGAAAGAAAAAAAGAAAAGAAAAAGACAGATGGCAAATAAACTCATGATAAAATGCTCAATCTCATTAATCATTAGGAGAATGCAAATATAAAATACAATGAGATACAACTACTCACACACTAAAATGGTTAAAAATTAAGACTGACTATACCAAGTGTCAATAAGGATGTGAAGTAACCAGGACACTCACACACTACTGGTGGTACAACCACTCTGGAAAACATTTTAGCAGTTTCTAAACTGATTTAACATGATTCATCAATTCCACTCCTGGTTATTGTGTGTATGTATACACAAAGACCTGAACACAACTATCTACAGAGCATTATTCATAATATTTATCATAATAAATAAACTATCCTATATTCATACAGCAGAATACTATTCCAAATTTAAAAGAAAATCACTACCAATATTTAATCTCAAAAACATTATGCTGAGCAAAAAAAAATCTAACACCAAAGAATATATTGTGTGATGTCATTTATATGAAGTTTTAGAGCAGCCAAACTGATTTATAGCTAAAGAAAGCAGATGAGCAGTTGCCTGGAGCAGGAGGGAGCACTCGGACTAATGGAAGTGGAAACAGTAAGTGACTGAAAAGGAATAAAAGAGCACTTCCGGGGAAGCTGAAAATGTTCTATGGCTTCATTGTGCGGTTGGTTACATGAGGTATATATTGATATTTGTCAAAACCCATTAACGAATGGATTCATTTTACTGTATGTAAATTATGCCTTAACAAAGTTGGTTTAAAAAACACAAAGAGTTGGTAACAAGTGTCCTTCATTACAAATCATGTGATATCTCTGACATAGGTTCTGGTAGCTTTTGCATTACACTTGAAGAAGCAGACAAAATTTTAAGCTTAGAAGTAAATCTAATTAATTTATCTTTTATAAGGTTTTGCAATATTAACATACTCCTTTTTACTTACAAAGCTTTCAAAAGAAGGTCAAGGGCTCCAAAGAGAGTTGTTATACTATACAATATTCTTACTGTATTAAGAAGGTAAATTTTAACTGCTGGGACAGATTAAACAAAACATTACAATGGCTTAAAAATTTATATAAAACAAGAATAATTAAGATATCAAGGTACTGACACAGAGATACACAAATAGATCAATGGAAAAGTAAAGTCCAGAAGCAGTCCCTATTTATATAAAGATTTATACAGTAAAGGTGGCCTAAATCTATATGGAAGGAATATTCAATGAATTGTACTTTACAACTGACTATATGAAAAAAACTGACTCTATTTATATCATATAAAAATTAATTTCAGGTAGATTATACACCTAAATATTAAGGCAAAACTTTAAACTTTTTAGAAGAATATGTAGGGAAAATGTCTTTTGAGCTTAGGGAAGGGAAGACTACATAAACAATGACATAAAAAGTGAAATCATAAAAAAAAATTGATAATATGCCTACATAAAGATTTTAAAATTTGAAAAAAGAAACACACAAAAGTAAACAATTCTTTCACAGACCAAGAAAAATTGGAAAACAATATGCAGTCATATATCACAAAAGAGAAAATCCAAATGGTCAAATTAAACATAAAAAAAGATGCTGCCTTTCAAAGTAATAAAGAATTAAAAATTAAAACCAAGAAAGATACATTTCTCACACATTAAACATGAAAAAAGTGAAAGTTTGCAATAATAAGGTAAGGCTGTAGAAAAATCAGAGTATTTAAATGCATTGTTTGTACAAATTATTCTGGAGAGTAATCTGACAGTATATAGCAAGTCTACTCCAGGTTTATATTGCAGAAGACCTTTCAAACATGTATAAAATATAACATATAGATGGATGTTTATTATATAATAGCATTTATTATAAAATATTTATATTTCTATTATAAAATATAAACAAGTATCATACCCCTCAACAAAAAAATGGAACAAGAAATGTGGTAGCTTTACACACACACACATACAAACAAGTCTGTTTGTTATAACAAAAGTACTAATACATTCATGGAAACAATGACAAATTGAGGATACTTATCCTGGGGAAGTACAGGAAGAAAATGGATATACAGGGGTTTTTAACTATATATGTAGGATCTTTTAATTTTCTAAAATAAAACAAAATATTGAGATTTGAAAATGGTGAGCAATGGGCATAATGAGTCACTGATTCTCTTAAGTGTATGCCTCAAGTATATCATAACTTTTTAAAGTATATGATGCATTTAATATAGTATCTGCCACACAAGAGCCATCTAACAACTGCTACTTTCCAGTCTGTAATGCTTCATTTTTTTAGAACTTCTAAGACTTACTCTGCTAACTCCACTTTGTAAGTACTGGGTGTTGCATGGATATTCATTCTGAAAGTTGAAAGGGAATACTGCTCCTGTTAGGAGAGAAAAAAATAAACTGTTTTAAATACTTATTACTTCAATAAATGGTATAATACCACCTAAAAAACCCTATGCATCTAGGATATGCTAGGCACTGTTTTGAAATGTTTTCTGAGAGTTCATTTACTCAACATAATGAAATGTCAGCTACTGTGTTAGGAGATGGGTTTATAAACATGAAAAAAGTTCAGAGATAAAAGACTTCATAGCCTATTTTTTAAAACAAGCTCATAAATAATGATTATAATAAAAATAAGTTATGTGACAGGTACAGAGAAGATACCAGGGGAGAGAAGATTGGGCTTTGGGCATATCAACTAAGGCTTAACGAAAGGAAATAATTCAGTTTGGGTCTTGAAGAAAAAGTAGATTTCTTTAGGGATGTGAGTTTCCCAGAGAATAGAGAAGTATGCTTTAATGCTAAAATTAATTTCTGATTTACCTAACCTTTCTGCTTAATAAACCCCTACTCCTGTCCACATCTTAAGAGGACATAGTGAAATGAGAGATGAGGGCTACCAGCTCACTCCTACCTACTGCTAAAATAGCCTTCGAGGGAAAGAATCCGNTGCTGTACACTTAAAACCAACACAGTATTGTAAATCAATTATATACTTCAATAAAAAAAGAATCCCTTTTCATTGGTAATACTTCTAAATTCTTCAGAGATCATTGGTTTTCATTATCTTTAAATATCCACCATAAACTATTTATGTATTTTATACATATTTATATATTATTTGGCCTTTCAAATACTAATGAACTATTAGCCAATTAATTTTTTAAATGTGGATACCAGATTACTCACCAGGGGGAGAACTCAGATGACGAACAGGTCTTGCTGGTTGAAGCGGTTTACCAATCAACTTTTTGGTTTCCATTTTCATAAAGATCTTGAAGTTCCATACTTTAGGAGGGAAAAATACAAATTGCTTTAACACATATACTAACAAAACAATGACATTACCACCATATGACCCAGCAATCCCACTCCGAGGCATATACCCTGAGGAAACCAAAACTGAAAAAGACACATGTATCCCACTGCTCACTGCAGCACTATTTATAATAGCTAGAACAGGGAAGCAACCTAGATGTCCATCAACAGAAGAATGGATAAAGAAGTTGTGGTAAATAGACACAATGGAATATTACTCAGCCATAAAAAGGAACACATTTGAGTCAGTTCTGATGAGGTAGATGAACCTAGAACCTACTATACAGAGTGAAGGGAGTCAGAAAGAGAAAGATAAATATCATATTCTAACACATATATATGGAATCTAGAAAAATGGTACTGAAGAATTTATTTACAGGGCAGCAGTGGAGAAACAGACATAGAGAATAGATTCATGGACATGGGGAGAGGGGAGGAGAGGGTGAGATGTATGGAAAGAGTAACATGAAAACTTACATTACCGTGTAAAATAGACAGCCAAGGGAATTTTCTGTATGGCTCAGGAAACTCAAACAGGGGCTCTGTATCAATCTAGAGGGATGGAATGGGGCGGGAGATGGGAGGGAGGTTCAGAAGGGAGCGGATATATGTATACCTATGGCTGATTCATGTTGAGGTTTGACAGAAAACAACAAAACTCTGTAAAGCAATTATTCTTCAATAAAAAAATAAGTTAAAAGAAAAGAGGACTAAAAAAAATAGAACTTACAATTAAAAAAACCACGGCATTCATTTGAATATAACTATTTTATAAATTAAAGTGGAAAACACAAAACAAGAATTTAAAACAACCTGCAACCAGAGACCCATTTCAGCATCTGTCACAACTGAATATTCCCTCTTTAAAACATTTCCCTCCCTTAACTTCCCTCTTTTCTATAGGTTTTATTTCCTATTTCTTTGACTGCCTCTTTTAACTTCCTTAGATGATTCCTATTTTTCTCTAGTTAAATTTAGGGATTAGTCCAAATTTGGCTTTGATTCTCCTAGCTAATTTCATCTACCTATCTACATAAGTATGCCCTTATTTACACATTCAGCATCTACCTCTCTTTTTAAATAATGTGACGATGATAAATGGTTTACTGTGCACGACACATGGATGTTGGCTTCTGTTTCTATTGTTAATAATTCGGGAGGTGATGAATCATCACCTCCTGAGTATATTATTATATTAACTATCTTTCTAATTGCCAAAAGATATTCCAATTTATATCTTATAGTATGTACCTCAAATTCAACATAATTCATTACTTTGACTCCAAAGATGTCCCTCCTGTTGTATTCCTTAAATTTATCGAAATTAGAGCCCCTCACCATAATCAGTCTCTAATTCCATTCTACTACCAAAACATCCCTCAGATCTATTTTCTTCACTCCGACCACTACCATTTTAGGCCCCTGGTAGTTCTTACTGTATTTCCCTGAACACCTGCTGCTGCTGCTAAGTTGCTTCAGTCGTGTCCGACTCTGTGCGACCCCATAGACGGCAGCCCACCAGGCCCTCCTGTCCCTCGGATCCTCCAGGCAAGAACATTGGAGTGGGTTGCCATTTCCTTCTCCAACGCATGAAAGTGAAAAACGAAAGTGAAGTCGCTCAGTCGTGTCCAACTCTTAGCGACCCCATGGACTGCAGCCCACCAGGCTCCTCCGTCCATGGGATTTTCCAGGCAAGAGTACTGGAGTGGGGTGCCATTGCCTTCTCTGCCCTGAACACCTAGACTGATTTAATTAAATACTGCCTTTCCCTATGTACCTATGTACCTGGGACAAAATGAATATGGCCACATCATGGCACTTAGAGAACACTGTACTATACTATATACTGAACTGTGATGGCTGATTTGTCTTCCATACTAGCAAAAGCGAGGGACAGATTCTTCTCAAAGTAAGGAACAATATTTTCATTCCTCCCGTGTCCCTTGCAACTAACTCAGTACTTGGACTGGATCCAAAGTAGGTCCAAAACAAGCATTTGCTGAACAAAAAGGAGAATATAGCTTCTTTTCTCTCCAAATTATGATCCCTTTACACACATATCTGCTTCAAAAACTTTAGTTCCCCATCACCTGCTGAATTATTAATAACAGAAACATGAGCCGACATCCACGTTTCATGCACAGTAAACCATTAACTATGCCACATTATTTAAAATTCAGAACAATTTTATAAATTAGGCACTATTAACAGTTAGAGCTCAGGTCTTGGGTCAACCTACCTGGGTTCTTATCACAGCTCTACCACCTAGTTATATAATTATGGAAAACAATAACCCCTACCTCCTAGGTTTGAGGACTACACAAGAACATCTGTATACATCATTAGCACAATGCCTGTTACATCGTAAGAGTTCAATAAATGTTAGTTTTATAATTTTTTAAACCTCATTTTCCAGATAATGCTTAGAGAAATTAGGTAACTTGTCCCAGGTCATGAGTCTAGAAAGTGGCATTTATGCTCATCCCCATGCTTCTAGAGTGAACACCCTACAGTCAAGCTAGCCCCTTCCTCTCTCTCCACCCCTGACATAGGCAGAACTGTCCAGGTTTCATTAAGTACCCTTCTTTTATGTTCACAAAACACCCTTGCAGCCTCTTCCAGTGTGGTATTTATTACATTAGCTGACTATAAAATCATAGCTCCATCACTCTCTCTAAGAGCCAGAACACTATCTAATATACAGCATCTCTCTAAGGGCCACCACAGTGTCTAATACACACTACATGTTCAATAAATTGCTGAATTCATAAATGCCATTATGCTTCACCATATATCTATAAACTCAGGTTTTCTGGAGTTCCCTCACTCTTTCTGCTGCTCTTCTTTCAACGCTAACATTAAATAAAATAGTTCATGTGAAGTTCTCTGTGTGAGCTTACTCGCTCAGTCCTGTCTGACTCTTTGCAATCCCATGGACTGTAGCTGCCAGGCTCTTTTTTCCATGGGGATTCTCCAGGCAAGAACAGTTGAGTGGGTTGCCAAGCCCTGTTCCAGGGGATCTTCCTAACCCATGGACCAAACCCAGGTCTCCTGTATTGCAGGCAGGTTCTTTACCACTGAGACACCAGGGACGCCCAAAGATATGTGCTGTGCTGAGTTGCTCAGTTGTGTTTGACTCTCTGTGACCCCATGGACTGTAGCTCGCCAGGCTCCTCTGTCCATGGGGTTCTCCAGGAAAGAATACTGGAGTGGGTTGCCATGCCCTCCTCCAGGGGATCTCCCCAACCCAGGGATCAAACCCAGGTCTCTTGCATTGCAGGTGGATTATTTACCATCTGAACCACGAGGGAAGCCCTCAAATACTGGAGTGGGTAGCCTATACCTTCTCCAGGGGAACTTCCTGACTCAGGAATCCAAATGGGGCCTCACATGTTGTAGGCAGATTCTTTACCAGCTGGGCTAACAGGGAAGCTCAGATGAAGCTCACAAGAAGTTCTCTAGTTTCTAACAAATGGTTAATAGTAAAATAACAAGAATAATAACAACAATAATGATTTTCTTTCTTCCTCCAGTGGCCCATATTGTATTCTGACTATTTTTCTAAACTATATCATACAAAAAATCTATCACAAGCCTAACAGATTAGACAGTTGAAGTAAAAAAAAAAACTGGTTTTGTGTATCTTAGTAGCTGCAACACAATCAGTTTTACTAAATACATCTATAAATTTAAATGTCTCTTATTTAATGAAAATTTACTGATGTTTGAATGAATCAAGTTTTCCAAATTTTGATGCCTATCAAGACGAAGTCAAAAGTAAAACTCCACCAGATTTTCATTTATCTTCCAGAAACTGATTCTAACCATATGATCTTGAGCAGAAGTTGGTCTAAGTGACTGTTTCCCTAAGTATAAAATGGGGTCAATCACTTTCTTTACACACCAAAGAAATGCTTTCATCTAATTCTTTTGGACATAATTCAAGTGTTAAAATCATAAATTTATAAACAACCTCTCAAAGTTAGCAATGATAACTAAGTACAAAATAGTTACTTTTTTTTGAAGTTTGGAGATAAACAAATCTGACTCGAAGAGATGACTCACTGGAAAAGACCCTGATGCTGGGAAAGATTGAGGGCAGGAGGAGAAGGGGACGATACAGGATGAGATGGTTGGATGGCATTGCCAACTCAATGGACATGAGTTCGAGCAAACTCTGGGAAACAGAGGACAGGGAAGCCTGGCATGCTGCAGTCCATGGGGTCGCAAAGAGTCAGCCACAACTGAGCAACTGAACAACAACATCCCAAGTTAGCACCCATCTAGATCTGTAACGGGGATGCTAACTAGTATTTCAGCATGGTAACAACCTTCTAAACGAAATAAATGCTGTATGTATTTGTTGACATTACACAAAAATAGGATATAACAGGAAACAAAAAAAGTATATGAAGAAAAAAAACCACTTTATTGACTGAATATTTTCATATGAAAGAGATATTTTAACATGGACCTAAAAGTAGTCTAGCATTTCGTTATTTAATATGTATCCTAACCACTTTAATTAGGACCCTAATGTCAATACCAGTAGTAGTAACTTTCCACCCTGTTCCCCATGAAAAGAATACAATAGACTACTTTGGCACACACTTTTTTTCCATTGCTCAGCTGAAATTGAGTTGGTACGTTGTAAAGTGTATTCCAGTTGCTGAGCAAAGCAAATCCACAGTATTCAAACCAGGGATTTTCAAGAGTTTAGGAGTTACAGAACTATTATATCAGTTTGCAATACAAGTAAATAAACAAACAAACAAAAAAAACCCACCAAAGATATTTCTGTACCCTCCTACCCTTTCCCTTTTCAATCTGTAGTGGGAAAACTACTACAAATTGAGAGGCCTGGCGGGCTACAGTCCATAGCATTGCAAAGACTCAGACTACTGAAGCAATTTAGCAAGCACGCACTCTTTCAAAAATTTGTAGTAGGGAAACTACAGCAAAGGCTCCAGATATATAAATTCACATTTCATACAATATTCTATTCAATATGATTTTTTAAAAGTAAACTATGCCTGCATAGAGACTGTGATATTATAGGAAGTAAGTTTGGGATGCATACTACATAACAGCATCATATCTTAAACAGTGTTATTAATGGAAAGGCAAGTACTTACCTTATATAATAATAAGCAATTATTATTGTAAAACTGATCAAGCACCATAATTTATGAAGGACAGGGCTCCACAAACCAAAGCTTAATTCTCTTAATTTAATTCTTAATTAAGAATTAATTATCTTAAAAATTAATTCTTAATTCTCTTAATTTTCATTGCGTTAAAAATAAAGACATCTGAACTATAAAGTCATTATGTAAAATAACTTCAGTCTTTAGCAAACTCTAATGTAGAACTCCAAAAGTTTCCTTTGAAGCTACTGGTCCTACCTAGTGTAGGCATTTATGATATCAAGTGTTACAAAGAACAGTTGTAAAAAAATATAATCCTACCTACACCACTGGGTAGCAAGTAGTGGGTCTGTCATACAGTTGTCTCTGAAATGTAAATATAGTGTTTTGTGGTATAAATGTTTTTTAAAGGACATTTTGATCCAATATCTCAAAAATTAATAGTATTAACTAACACATGCTGAGAAATGGTTATTAAAGTTTTTTTCAAGTTCACACATATTTAACAAATCATCTTAAAAGGCCAAGTGATATGTTGAGGTAGGTCCCTTCTATGCCCATTTTTTTTTTAAAGAATTTTAGTCATAAATGGAAGCTGAGTTTTGTCAAAGGTTTTTTCTGGATCTATTGAGATTATCATATGGTTTTTATCTTTCAGTTTGTTAATATGGTGTATCACATTGATTAAGGCCAAGTGATATGAATAGAACACTGGTTTGCAAGTCAGGAAATCTGTGTCACTGCTATTCTACATCTAGAATACTAACTATATCTTAGGTTATTTCTTTTTTTCAAAAAATGTTGAACTAAATATGAATCCTAAGGGCCCACCAACTCTGAAATTATAAGTTAACCTAAAATTTTCTAAAATATAGTACCATGCTATAATAAGCATATATACTGATCAGATGGGGACACAATTTCATTACCCAATATATGCTTTTCTTTTTTTAATTAAAACATCATTTTTTTGAGATCTTACTACATATTAAATGCTTTACATATACTATCTCATTTAATTTTGAGCCATACATTAACTGTTGCAGAAACTCATTATTAAGTTACTTTACAGATGAGAAACCTGAAGCTAAGAAAAATAAGAGAACTGCACAAATTCACACAGTTAGTAATTGGTAGAAATGAGGTTTTGACTGTAAAGTTCATGCCATCGTCTCTAAACTTGTGTGCTTGGCAAGTAAAACACACTTGACTCTTCACTACTCCATGTGTATGGACAGTACTTGTATAGAAAAAAATTATGAGAAGGAACATTTATATGTATAAAACCTTCTGAATCAGTTGATGTGTGCTAATAATTTTCATTTCCTCAATTTTCAATTTTTCTTAGACTACTAAATATATCGTGGGATTAATATGCTTTCCTCATTCTGCAGACATGGTACACTGCCATTCTAATCCATTAGATACTATACTTACTATGTACTATACTTAGAAACAGTATTATACTTAAAATATACAACTTAAATGCTAGATTTCTTCAGAAATTGCTGATGGTTCTGCTGAACTTAAGAAATAAGAGCATATAAAATTTAATAAGCTGAAAGGAGAAGTGAAAAGACATGCTTTCATTTATCTCATGTATATTTCCCATATAGGATTATATCAGATAAGATTTAATCTCAGTTTTCAACTTCAAAATACCTCTTTTACTAAGTTATGATTCCTTAAAGCCAAATGCTGATGTAATTAAGCAGCATAAACTGATAAACTGATAGAGGAAAAATAAGGAAATATAGAGGACTAAAGGATAAACTAATTGTGACTTGAAAGACATTTTATATTCCACAAACTAGGTTGTCATATTTAGCAAAAATTAAATATTTAAACTGAAATATCAAAAAGTTATAAGCCAAGAGTATTCTGTTTTCTGTTTCATGCTTTCTGACCAAAAAAAATTTTTTCCCTGTGAAGCATCTTTTAACACAAATACAATTTAACATTTAAGTGGGATAAATTGTCCAGGTAATGCATGTTGGTCGTTGTTATAACTGATGTAACTGTCCTTTTTCAGCTTTTATTTTTACAGCTTGCGAAAATGTCAGCAACTATAAAGTTTTGATAAAATATTATGCTGTACATCTGAAACTAACAAAATGTTGTATGTCAACTTTCGTAAAAACGCGTATCCTAACATACAAGTTGCACAGAATATCTTCAAATACGGTTCATTAGCCATTCGATTTACTTCTGTGAAATGACCACGTATGTCTTTGGTTTCTTTATTCTTACTGGGTTTTCTTTTCTTACAGAATATAATTTCGTGTAATTAATTATTCGTTTGCTCTTCATTTTATTATTAACAAAAACAACTAAAGTAATCTCAAAAACAAACTGTTGGTCACAATTAGTACGGACGATGCCAGGATACGGGAAGCAGTCCTCAAACCATCCCACTTACCTACCACCAGGTCGTGGTGTCTATACACACTTAACTTCTGGGGGCATTTTGTTTTATTTTATCAACATTCCTTCAGCAGTGTAACTCCCCGGGCCACTTGCCTCTCGCCCGGTTTCCCCCGCCCCAGTCCCCGCGCCTTTCCTGCCGATCTGCTCGCCCACTTTGAGCCCTAAGAGCCGCATCTTGGGGACCCTGTGGAGGCCTTGCTCGACTCATCCCAGACCCCAGCCAGTTCTCTCCCCGACACCCCAACTTCCCCCACGTCCGTCCTCGGAGACGGCGCCCACTCGCCGCCTCACTCCCCGGAGTCCTGATTTCTGTTCGCCTCGCTGCCCGTCCTCCCCGGCAACCTACCGCCTGAAGATCCTGGAGGAATTCGGGGCCGGCAGCCGCGTCGCGGCGCTCAGTCCAGACACGACCGTGGAGCGCCGGGGGTGCCCGTCCGGGAACGGCTACGGCGGCTCTCTCGAGGCCCCGATTGGCAGCAGCGGGGTGGGGCAGACGGCGGCCCCCAGAGGCTCGGGGCGGGCGCGGGGCGCGCGGGGGGCGGAGCCTCGGGCGCCCGACCTACGGCGCTGCCGCAGTCGGGCGGGAACTGAACCGTTAAACTGGCGGCGCGCGTTTTCCTGGACGTATGGGGCGCGAGGGGCCGACGCTCCCCCTCTGGAGGTCGCGCCTGGCGAGGAGGAGGGCGCGGGAGGCCTCTCTGAGGTGCTCACGGGCTCTCGTTGGACGGGGCGTGCCCGTATGAACAGCCTTCAGGACCCCAGCCGGCGGTCCGACCTGCCTGAGACCCGGAGGGGGCGAGGTGAGCCGCCGGCTCGGGGGGCCGGGCGGGGGCTCCAGGCCGCCTCTGTGAGCCAGGCCTCGGGCGCGCTGAGGACTGCGCCCCTTCCGCGTCAGAGCCGCCGGTAGGCCCCGTCGGCGCTGCCCGTGCTGCCCCTGGCCTGGGTCTAAGCAGTGCTGAGATTTAGGGCGGTCAGGGAGTAAGGGACATGGTTAACTTCAGACAGGCGTACACAGCTCACACAGACCGCCATGTTGAACGAAACTGGTTGAAGCGACTTCATCTGAATCCCAGTCCTCTGTTTTTAATCGTCACCTTTAGTCTTTTCACTCATATTTTTTCACCGTTGTTTTTGAGAGTCCCCTCTTGGTCCTTTCACTCTACTAGGGGACGTGGAGGCAGAACACAGGTGAATAAGAAAATTCCTGTCATTACCCGGCTCACAGTCTGTGGGCCATGGGCCATGTGTGCCAAGTGTTGGAATAGATTAAAGTTGGGAGCACAGTGCAAGGAATGCCTGAATTGACTCTTAGGCTTGGAATGTCAGCTGTTTTCTAAGCAGCTTATGCTTGTTTTGTTGTGGCTGGCTGCGGGAGGAAGGCGAGAAGAGATGGTTCAAAGGGAAAAGAAAACTTGCCTAGTAAGCAGTAGTTGGAATTGGGGCAAACAGCAGTGAGGAAAGAAAACAAGCTTTCTGTTTGAATCTTTCATAGCTTACCTTTTTGAATACTTGGAAAGGTCATTCTCACAGCACAGTGAAGGGTAGATTTGGGAGGAGGGAGTGTAAGGTATAGCAATATTTGTTAATGAAAAACGCATAATATGAGAGTTGTGAGTGAAGTTTTATTTGGGGCAATAGGAGAACTACAGTCCAAGAGTCAGCACCTCAGATAGCTCTGAGAAACTAATCCAAAGAGGAAGGGAGGAAAGATAGTATATATGTGATATTGGTAAAGACTGGTAAAGGGGAAGTGCATGCTATCAAGCATATATTTTTTGTTTTTAGAAAGTTTCTGCTGGTCTCATGAGGCTTCTGCTAGTCACAAGAAACAATCATCACCATGAAGGATTTTAGTGCTTTTCTAGATCTGGGGAAATATAAGAATTGGGCTCGTAAGGTCAACTCCTGAGAATATCTGTCTAAAGACCTGTCCTGCCAGTTTCCTGGAGCATAAAGTGCCTCGTTTCTGCTTTCCACCCAAGCTTCTTCATAGGGTGTTGAAGGTCAGCAGCTGCAGCGGCACATGATTTAATCCCTGTAGAAGTAGATGGCAAGCACCCATGACAAGTGCCAACTTGTGGTTGACATATTAAACAGGCCACAGAAGTCTTCCTCCGGAGTGTCAGTTACTGTCAGCTTAAAAAATATTCACAATCCAAAAGTTGAGAGTTGTTTTATTTGGTGGGATTTTTAGGACTTAAGCTCAGGAGACAGCATCTCAAGTTGCCCTGAGAGATCTGCTCTGAGGAGTTGGGGTCAGGGAGGAGTTATATAGAACTTTGCAATCAAGAGCAGGTAGTCTGAATGTCAGAAGTATTTTTATTAATTAAAGAAAATCAGATATCCCAAGTTAAGGAATTTAGTGCTTTTCTATGTATGGCAAGATGAGAGAGTCTGGGATCACTGAAGTCATTCCTTTCATATGCATCTCAGCTATCCGGGGCCAGTATCCTGTATTTTTCACATCCTGACTTCCTCTGAGCTCACCGTAGGGAGTGGCTACAGCCTGATGACTGCCAGATCACAGGTATTAATCTTCTTGTGTATCCTTAGGGCTCAGGAATTTACATTTGGAAGGCCAGAACTGCTGATGACTGTGACATGGTTGGACTTCCCTCGTGGCTCAATCTTTGTTTACTGTTATGGCAGGAAATACTCCATTTCTCAACTCCAATAGAAATAATGATATATGAGATAAGTAATGAAGTATAGGGGATAGATCTGAGAGATGTTGCTGAAGTGAAATCAACAGTTTTGTGACAGATTGGACAGAAGGATTGAGTGAAGAAGAAGAGAATCTATGGGGTTTCTGAGTTGGGTGAACAAGTGAATAGGTGGTGATGACATAAGATAGGGAACTCAAGAGGTAGAACAGTTTTGGGGAGGGAAATGATGAATTCAGATTGGAACTTGAAAATGTGAGATTATAAAAGGATATTTAAGTTGAGCTTTTTTATTTATGTACACACACACAAAATATATACCCATACAGAAATAATGTATACAACATGTCATAGATAAATTAGAACATTAAGAAAGGATGTTGATTAAGAAACATATCCATTCCAGAAAGAAGAATTTAGAAAGGGGATTCAGAAGGCCAGTCATCTCCAAAGGAGGCTGTGTAAAGGCAAGCAAAGAAAACTTGACTAGAATGGTACAACTGAAGATGGAATTCCTCTTTGAAAAGGAATCATCTAAGCTAGAGGTGGATGCTGATGTAGGATAGGAAAAAGGTATTTAGGGAAAAGGAAGTGTAGGTATTAATGTCCTGAGGTGAGAAAAAAATGAAGTTTAGCAGTAAGAAGAGAACAATAGTCTTAAGAGTATAAATCAATAAGTAAAATATAGGTAGTATATGTAGCATAAGTATTTACATGGAATAGAAGTAGTATGAAGAAAGAAATAATGCTGCTTGTGGGTGGAAGGGAGGAAAATATCATGGAAGGGTTTACAGGGGAGGTAATGCCTTAGCAGGATTTTCAGGGATAAAAAGGAGGTTACCAAGTTAGACAGGGCTATTCCTTGCAGGCAGAAGGACCTGTCCAGAAGCATATAGAATTGAAATACCAAAAAAAAAAAAAATCAGTAATTCAGTACTGCAGAAACACAAACTACGAGATACTGCTATGGTAGTGGTTCAATATTAGGCAGAGAAAGGGAAGAGCCTTTTATCTCCTTTCTAAGGATGTGGAGAGAGCTGAAGGACTTTAGGGTATGATAAGATCCTATGTGTATATGAAAACTGATCACCTAAGAGACTAACGTGGAAAACGGAGTGAAGAGAGGTACAGGCAGGCAAGGCAGAAACAGAAGCAGAGTGACCAGTTCAAATAGGATTTTACATGCACTGTTGATGAGAGCCACAAGATAGGGGAGGAGCCATGAAGAAAAGTGCACACACTTTAGAGAACAGGGAGAGCTAATGGATTGTAGAGGGTGTGAGAAAGAAAAATGAAGATGATGATGCCAGTTGTTGATTTAGGCAGCCAGATGGATCTCAGAAATAATGAAAAAATATTGTGAGTCCCCTGAGGAGGAATGGGATGAATCTAGAGGGCAGGTGGAGGGAAGGAACAAAGGGCAGAATAGATGAACTAAGGAAACAACCACTGTAAGAGGAAGGGGGTCCGCTGTGCAAAGTGTGGTAAGGGGCCTTAGGACTCAAGTTTTCAAGTGGTAAGTGTGGGAAATTTGCAGAGAGAACTGAAGACAGGTAAGCAACGTTGAAGAGTAATTGAAGGTAAAGATCAAAAATATGCAGTGGCATTTATCTTTGTGGTTATGGGATTCATTGCTAAATACAGATGACAGACTGGAATAATCAAGAAATTGGAAGTGTTAAAGGTGATATTTAGGAATGGCAGTACAAAGAGAATTTTGTAAGGACAGAGGACACATACAATCAGTGCCCATCTGAGGATTAGTTCGGAGATGGAGTAGTTCTAAGTACGGGCACCAACCGTGCAACTACAGTGGTAAGTAACAGACATGTAACGGAGATAAAGGTCACTGAACTTGAGGGAATCAAAGAACTGAGTCCAGACCGGAGTACTGGAGAGGCCATCCACACTGACATGTGATAAGAATGAAAATCAGGTACTGAAGTCTGCATTATGTGGGAGTAAAAGAAGACCTGTGGATGGCAGACAGTAGGCAGAAACTTTCAAAGAAAGGAATCATGTAGCAGATGTGTAGGAAGAGACCAGAAAACAATAAGGCATTGCATAACCTGAGGAGTTCTCTACAAATCTCCTGAGCTTACTCTTGATAAAGGCTGAATTACTAATAAAAATTTAATGCGTTTTCTTCAAGATTATTTAAATACCAAATACTTGAAGCCAATGATATATTTGGTGTAGAATATCAGACACTGTGGCAAGGTTTTTCAGAAATTATTTGAATACTGGGAACTTATAGTAGTTCTATATCCAGACGTTACACATATGCATAAGACACTTAAAAAGAGCAAAATCTGTGATCACTTCCTATTTTGTAAACTACCTTAAATGAGATTTATTTACACTTAAAAAACTGAAGACTGTCTCTGTGATAGATCAAAGACTTACTTGTTAATTGCAAACTGTACTCAGATCTTTAGCCTTATCTGAAAACTTAATAGGCTTTTTTCCCCCCCATTTTTCACATGGTATTCCAACTTAAGGTCAAATGTAGATACGTTTATCAAATATAAAGAATCCTAGTATTTATTTAAATTTGAAACTGAGTATGTAAAATAAATATAAAAATTAACTGTTTTTTTTTAGCATTTGGTGCTATTTAACAATCATTTAAATAAACTGCCATTACAAGAAATAAGTTATTTTAATAAAAACTCATTGCAGGGACTTCCCTGGTGGTCCAGCAGCTAACATTCCATTTTCCCAATGCAAGGTGCCTGAGTTTGATTCCTGGTTAGGGAACTGGATTCCCACATGCCACAACTAAGTATTTGCATACCACAACTAAGTTAGCAGCTGCAACTGAAGATCCCAAGTGCTGCAACTAAGACTTAACAGAGCCAAATAAATATTTTTTTTAAAAAGCAACTATAAAAACTCATTGTATGTCAATTTCCATATATTTAATATGTAATATTCCTGTAATAATGGTTGTTACCCTATGTATTTATTTCATTTTTTATAATTGACAAAATCACAGAAAAATTAGCAGAATTATGCTGTAAAGAACAATACTGCATAACAACCAGGAATGTTAGATTTATGAACTAAGGTAAATTGGACATGGTCAAGCAGGAGATGGCAAGACTGAACATCAACATCTTAGGAATCAGTGAACTAAACTGGATGGGGATGGGTGAATTTAATTCAGATGACCACTACATCTACTACTGGGGGCAAGAATCACTTAGAAGAAATGGAGTAGGCTCATAGTCAACAAAAGAGATCAAAATGCAGTTCTTGGGCGCAACCTCAAAAATGACAGAATAGCCTTAGTTTGTTTCCAAGGCAAACTATTCAATATCGTAGTATTCTAAGTCTATGCCCCAACCTCTAAGGTTGAAGAAGGTGAAGTTGACTAGTTCTATGAAGACCTACAACACCTTCTAGAACTAACACACAAAAAAGATATCTTTTTCATCATAGGAGATGGGAATGCAAAAGTAGGAAGTCATGAGAAACCTGCAGTAACTCGCAAGTTTGGCTTTGGAATACAAAATGAAACAGGGCAAAGGCTAACAGTTTTGTTAAAAGAATACACTAATCATAACAAACACCTTTTTTCCAACAACCCAGGAGAAATCTACACATGGACATCACCAGATTGTCAATACTGAAAACATTGATTATCCTCTTTGCAACCAAAGATGGAGAGGCTCTATACAGTCAGCAAAAACAAGACTTGGAGCTGACTGTGGCTCAGATCATCAACTGCTTATTGGAATACTCAGGCTTAAAGAAAGTAGGAAAAACCACTAGGCCCTTTAGGTATGATTAAATCAAATCTCTTATGATTATATAGTGGAGGTGATGAATACATTCAAAGAATTAGGTCTGGTAGAGTGCCTGAAGAACTGTGGACAGAGGCTTGTAACATTTTACAGGAGGCAGTGACTAAAACCATCCCTAAGAAAAAGAAATGCATAAGGTGAAGTGGTTGTCTGAGAAGGCTTTACAAATAGCTGAGGAAAGCTGAGAAAGAAAGGCAATGGAGAAAGAGAAGTATGAAATTGAATGCAGAGCTCCAGAGAACAGCAAGGAGAGAGATTTTCTTAAATGAACAATAGAAAGAAATAGAGGAAAACAAAAGAATAGTAAAGACTAGAGAGCTCAAGAAAATTGGAAATTTTAAGGGAACATTTCATGCAAGGATGGGCATGTTATGGGATAGAAATGGTAAGGACCTAACAGAAGCAGAAGAGATTAAGAAAAGGTGGCAAGAACATACAGAAGTATTATACAGAAAAGGTCTTAATGACCAGGATAATCATGGTGTGATAACTCACCTAGAGCCAGACATCCTGAAGTGTGAAGTCAAGTGGGCCTCAGGAAGCATTACTATGAACAAAGCTAGGGGAGGTTGATGGAATTCCAGCTGAGTTATTTCAAATCTTAAAAGACGATGCTGTTAAAGTGCTGCACTCAATTTGTCAGCAAATATGGAAAACTCAGCAGTGGCTACACGACTGGAAAAGGTGTTTTCATTCCAATCCCAAAGAAGGACAAGCCAAAGAAAGTTCAAAGTACCATATAACTGCACTCATTTCACATGCTATCAAGGTTATGCTTAAAATCCTTCAAGTTATACTTCAGCAGTACATGAACCAAGAATTTCCAGGTGTGCAAGCTGGGTGTTGAACAGGCAGAGGAACCAGAGATCAAATTGCTGACATTATTGGATCATGGAGAAAGCAAAGGAGTTCCAGAAAAACATTTACTTCTTCTTCATTGACTATGCTAACACCTTTGTGTGGACCACAACAACTGTGGAAAATTCTTAAAGAGATGGGAGTATCAGACCACTTTACCTGTCCCCTGAGAAATCTGTATGCAGGTCAAGAAGGAACAGTTAGAACTGGACATGGAACAACCGACTGGTTCAACACTAAGAAAGAATAAAACACTGTATGTTGTCATCTTGCTTATTTAACTTACATGCATAGTACATCATGTGAAATGCCAGGCTGGATGAATCACAAGCTGGAATTAATATTGCCAGGAGAAATATTAACAGCCTCAGATATGCAGATGATACACCCTAATGGCAGAAAGTGAAGAGGAGCTAAAGAATCTCTTGATGAGGGTAAAAGAGGAGAGTGGAAAAGCTGGCTTCAAACTCAACATTTAAAAAAACTAAGATCATGGCATATGGTCCTATCACTTCATGGCAAATAGATTGGGAAACAATGGAAACAGTGACAGACTATTTTCTTGGGCTCCATAATCACTGCAGATGGTGACAGCAGCCATGAAATTAAAAGATGCTTGCTCTTTGGAAGGAAAGCTCTGACAAACCTAGACTGCATATTAAAAAGCAGAGATATCACTTCACCAACATAGGTCCATGTAGTCAAAGCTATGTTTTTTCAGTAGTTATGAATAGATCTGAGAGTTGGACCATAAAGAAGTCTGAGTGCTTTTGAATTACAGTGCTGGAGAAGACTCTTGAGAGTCCCTTGAACTCCAAGGAAATCAAACCAGTCAATCCTAAAGGCAGTCAACCCTGACTATTTCATTGGAAGGACTGATGCTGAAGTTCAGGCTCCAATATGTGGGCCACCTGATGTGAAGAGTCAACTCATCAGAAAAGACCCTAACGCTGGAAGAGATTGATGGCAAAAGGAGAAGGAGGTGATGGAGGATGAGATGGTTAGATATTATCACCTACTCAATGGACATGAATTTGAGTACTCTGGGCAATAGTGAAGGACAGTGAAGCCTGGGTCTCAAAAGGTCAGATACAAATTAGCAACTGAACAATAGCAACATGTATTGTTAAGATAAAATGAAATAAAATTAATAAAGTTTGATATAATAAAAAATAAAAGTAAAAAATACTTTTAAGCTATAGTATTCTATTCGTGAAATAAATATGTAGGACAAGTATTTTCTTTTCTTTCCAGACTTGAGTTACACACAGTGAACAGCAGGGGACACAAAATTCAGAAGTTATTCTCTACATAGCAATGCACAATGAAACCTCAAGTTGTAGTGGAAAGCAGATGAACTTTGGAGGCAGACAGACTGCTTGATTCACCTTACTCCATCACACGTAAGCTGTGTTTGTTGTGCTGTCTCTTGGCCATTTCTTGACTGGAAAAGGTGTTTTCATTCCAATCCCAAAGAAGGACAAGCCAAAGAAAGTTCAAAGTACCATATAACTGCACTCATTTCACATGCTATCAAGGTTATGCTTAAAATCCTTCAAGTTATACTTCAGCAGTACATGAACCAAGAATTTCCAGGTGTGCAAGCTGGGTGTTGAACAGGCAGAGGAACCAGAGATCAAATTGCTGACATTATTGGATCATGGAGAAAGCAAAGGAGTTCCAGAAAAACATTTACTTCTTCTTCATTGACTATGCTAACACCTTTGTGTGGACCACAACAACTGTGGAAAATTCTTAAAGAGATGGGAGTATCAGACCACTTTACCTGTCCCCTGAGAAATCTGTATGCAGGTCAAGAAGGAACAGTTAGAACTGGACATGGAACAACCGACTGGTTCAACACTAAGAAAGAATAAAACACTGTATGTTGTCATCTTGCTTATTTAACTTACATGCATAGTACATCATGTGAAATGCCAGGCTGGATGAATCACAAGCTGGAATTAATATTGCCAGGAGAAATATTAACAGCCTCAGATATGCAGATGATACACCCTAATGGCAGAAAGTGAAGAGGAGCTAAAGAATCTCTTGATGAGGGTAAAAGAGGAGAGTGGAAAAGCTGGCTTCAAACTCAACATTTAAAAAAACTAAGATCATGGCATATGGTCCTATCACTTCATGGCAAATAGATTGGGAAACAATGGAAACAGTGACAGACTATTTTCTTGGGCTCCATAATCACTGCAGATGGTGACAGCAGCCATGAAATTAAAAGATGCTTGCTCTTTGGAAGGAAAGCTCTGACAAACCTAGACTGCATATTAAAAAGCAGAGATATCACTTCACCAACATAGGTCCATGTAGTCAAAGCTATGTTTTTTCAGTAGTTATGAATAGATCTGAGAGTTGGACCATAAAGAAGTCTGAGTGCTTTTGAATTACAGTGCTGGAGAAGACTCTTGAGAGTCCCTTGAACTCCAAGGAAATCAAACCAGTCAATCCTAAAGGCAGTCAACCCTGACTATTTCATTGGAAGGACTGATGCTGAAGTTCAGGCTCCAATATGTGGGCCACCTGATGTGAAGAGTCAACTCATCAGAAAAGACCCTAACGCTGGAAGAGATTGATGGCAAAAGGAGAAGGAGGTGATGGAGGATGAGATGGTTAGATAGTATCACCTACTCAATGGACATGAATTTGAGTACTCTGGGCAATAGTGAAGGACAATGAAGCCTGGGTCTCAAAAGGTCAGATACAAATTAGCAACTGAACAATAGCAACATGTATTGTTAAGATAAAATGAAATAAAATTAATAAAGTTTGATATAATAAAAAAATAAAAGTAAAAAATACTTTTAAGCTATAGTATTCTATTCGTGAAATAAATATGTAGGACAAGTATTTTCTTTTCTTTTCAGACTTGAGTTACACACAGTGAACAGCAGGGGACACAAAATTCAGAAGTTATTCTCTACATAGCAATGCACAATGAAACCTCAAGTTGTAGTGGAAAGCAGATGAACTTTGGAGGCAGACAGACTGCTTGATTCACCTTACTCCATCACACGTAAGCTGTGTTTGTTGTGCTGTCTCTTAGCCATTTCTGACTTTTTGTGACCATTTGGACTGTAGCCTTCCAGGCACCTCTGTCCATCGGATTTTTCAGGTAAGAATACTGGAGTGAGTTGTCATTTCCTCCTCCAGGGGGTCTTCCAGACCCAGGGATGGGACTTGTGTCTCCTGCACTGAGAGCAGACTCTTCGCCACAAACCACTGGGGATGCCCACATATAAGCTGAGTGACCTTTAATTATTTAACCTCTCTGACTTCTTAGAATCATGATAACTATAACATGGAGATTAAGTCAGTATATGTAAGGCAGTTCAGTAAATATTAGGGTTTTTTCTTCAGTGCTTACTGTATAAATATGTGCATGTAAACTGAAATCACACTGAACAAATGCACATTTAGATCTTATAGTCAGTTTTCCAAACCATGAACATGGAAATGGCTATAGTTTCAAGATAGAATAGAAACACAAGTATAGTGAGATCAAAAATAAAAGCTAAGCAAAAGAAATGGGTTGTGTATGAGTTGCTACTCACAGCCAATCAAGGTTTTTTCTATATTTGAAAATGTGAATGCTAGAGAAAGTGCACCTGAACATGTGCTGTGTACATTTTCAGCATGGTTTAGTAAGAGTATGTTTCTCAGAGTATGATCCAGGAAAAACCAACATCAGAGTTAACGGGGAGTGCTTGTTGTCTGCAGTTGCATGTTCTACACAAAATCTTTTTCAGATCTACGGGAATGGCACCTCAATATCCTCTGGCAAAGGAGAAACAAGAGTCCTTGCTTCTTAGGATTCCTGTGAATATTAAACAGCACGTGTTGTGAAACTAGCACCGTACTTGCCACATATCATTAGAATTCTTTCCTTTCTTCCACATTGACACATGTATACTCACAAATGACTTGCTCAAAAACACCTGATCATGGTTCCATCTTTTCCCTCTTTAATAAGAAATAAGGCTTTTTTTTTTTTTTTTTTTTTTNTTTGGTGCACAGGGGACAAATAAATCCTTCCTTTTCTGACCAGTGGCTATATTCTCTCCAATAATGCTTCCCCAGCACTTTGTGTTCCACTTCTGACTCGTCACCGGAAGACATGTTCTATTGTAAATAACACTAGTGTAAGGTGCCATAAACTTGGATGTAGTTAGTGAAACATACATGATAATTCATACAAGACTAAGCTTGAATACATAATGTGTTCATTTTAAACTTAAGGTTTTAGGAATGAAATTCATTGGCTTGGATTTTAATAAATTTAACTCTAAGAATTTAAATGACAATGTAACAAATATTGATGTGATCATCACTTAGCATTCTTATCTGTTTATCAAAAGGAAACTTATGACTTTCCAACTATTAATTTAGTACAGAAATAAAGTAAAAATCAGTTATCTTTTGTCACGCACAGAAAATGAATTCTTACATTTAGTGTTTAATTATCCTTAGTTTCTTCAACACATAATATGTAAAATTATTTTTAAGAAATGAATTATACTCTACATATTGTAACCTGATTTTGTCTCACAATATTTTGTAAACTATTCCAATTGGACAGGTGAAAACTTTAATTGCTGCCTGTTGTTTTACAGTATAGATACACCATAAATTATTCCACCTGTGCATGCTGAGTTACTAAGTCATGTTCATCTCTGTGCAACCCCATGGACTGTAACCCACTAGTCTCCACTGTCCATGGGATTTCCCAGGCAAGAATACTACACTGGGTTGTCATTTCCTCCTCTAGGGAATCTTCCTGCCCCAGAGATTGAACTGGGGTCTCCTGCATTGGCAGGCAGATTCTTTACCACTGAGCCACCTAGGAAACCCTAATTTATTTCACCTAGTCCACATGATTGAATTTTTAGACATTTTCTTCTTTTTAACCCCCATTATAAATAAAGATGTGATAAACATTGTTGTACATACACATTTAATATTTTATCCATAACACTTTTAGGATAAATTCTTAAGAGACAGAATTGCTAGGTCCAAGGATGTGTGTATTTTCCCATATCTTCAAAACTGCAGGAATATTCCAATATTTCTGCTTTATTTTACTTTTGTTATGGTAGGTTAAATTTTTTTCATATAGTTTTTAATATATAGCCTTTGAAAGCAAATTTTTAAAAGATGATGTATTTCTTCTTTTTTGAATGGCTTTAGCATATTAAAAAGCAGAGACATTACTTTGTCAACAAAGGTCCGTCTAGTCAAGGCTATGGTTTTTCCAGTAGTCATGTATGGATGTGAGAGTTGGACTATAAAGAAAGCTGAGCACCGAAGAATTGATGCTTTTGAACTGTGGTGTTGGAGAAGACTCTTGAGAGTCCCTTGGACTGCAAGGAGATCCAACCAGTCCATCCTAAAGGAGATCAGTCCTGGGTGTTCATTGGAAGGACTGATGTTGAAGCTGAAACTCCAATACTTTGGCCACCTGATGCGAAGAGCTGACTCATTTGAAAAGACCCTGATGCTGGGAAAGATTGAGGGCAGGAGGAGAAGGGGACGACAGAGGATGAGATGGTTGGATGGCATCACTGACTCAATGGACATGAGTTTGGGTGGACTCTGGGAGTTGGTGATGGACAGGGAGGCCTGGCATGTTGCTGTTCATGGGGTTGAAGAGAGTCGGACATGACTGAGCGACTGAACTGAACTGAACTGATGGTAGCTCTATTTTTAGTTTTTTGAGGAACCTAAATACTGTTTTCCATGTGTCTGTACCTATTTGCATTCACACCAACAGTGATCAGTAATTCCCTATGATTCACATCCTCACCAATACTTATTATCTTTTTTATAATAAATATTCTGTGAGTTGGTATCTTGTAGTTCTGGTTTGCATTTCCCTGATATTAGCAATACTGAGCATCTCCTCATGTGTCTGTTGACAATTTATATGTCTTCTTTGAAAAATGTCTATTCAGATCCTCAGCCCACTTTTTAATTTTTTTTGATGTTGAGTAGTATGAGTTTTTTGTATATTTTGGATATTAACCCAGTATCAGATATATTGTTTGCAAAGATCTCCCATTCAATAGGTTGCCTTTTGTTCTGTTGATAGTTTCCTTTGCTGAGAAAAAGCTTTAGCTTGATGTGGTCCCATTTGTTCACTTTTGACTTTGTTTCCCTTGCCTGATGAGACATATCCATAAAAATATTGGTAAGACTCAACTCAAAGAACATACTGCCTATGTTTCTTCTAGGAGTTTTATGGTTTCAGGCCTTACATTTAAGTCTTTAATCCATTTTGAGTTTATTTCTGTATGTGGTATGAGAAAGTAGTCCAGTTTGATTCTTTTACATCTAACTGTTCACCATTTATTGAAGAGGTCGCCTTTACCCATTGTATGTTCTTGCCTTCCTTGTTGTAGATTAACTGACCATATATGTGTGGATTTATTTCTGGCTCTTGATTCTTGATTCCATTGATAATATGTTTGTTTTTTTTGCCAGCATCATACTGTTTTGATTACAGCAGCTTTGTAGTATAGCTTGAAATTGGGGAGTATATCTCCAGTTTTATTCATTTTTCTCACAATTATTTTGGCTATTCAAGGTCTTTTGTGTTTCTGTAAAATTTTAGAATTATTTGTCCTTAGTTCTGTGAAAAATGCCATTGGTGCTTTGATAGGGATTACACTGAATCTTATTTTAGCAGTATTAATTCTTCCAATATATGAGAATGGCATATCTTTTCATTTGTTTGAGTGGTCTTCAATTTCTGTCATTAATGTCAGTTTAATGAGTATAAGTCTTTCACCTCTTGTAAAAGATTGATTTGATTTAGTCCTAGGTATTTTATTCTTTTTGATACAATTGCAAATGGATCGTTTACAAATGATCCATTACAAAAATGGGGTTTTCTTTCTGATAGTGTATACAATTCAACAGATTTCTATATATTAATTTTTTGTCCTGCAATATACTGAATTCATTTATTAGTTTTAGTAGTTTTTCGGTGGTGTCTTTGGCACTTTCTGTATTTATATATATAGTATCATATAATTGGCAAACAGTGACAGTTTTACTTCTTCCTTTCCAGTTTGGATTCCTTTTATTTCTCTTCCTTATCTGATTGCTGTAGCTGTGTGTGTGTGTTCGCATCCGATTCATTGCCACTCCATTGACTGTAGCCTACCAGGGTCTTCAGTCCATGGACTGTTCCAGGCAAGAATACTGGAGCGGGTTGCCATTTACTACTCCAGGTGATCTTGGGAGCAAATCCACCTGGCCTGCATTTCCTGAATTGGCAAGCGGATTCTTTACCACTAGCACCACCTGGTGGCGGAAGCCCCGACTGCCATAGCTAGGACTTCCAATACCATGTTGAATAAAAGTGGCAAGAGTGGACACCTTGTCTTTTTCCTGACCTTTGAGGAAAGGCTCTCAGCTTTCACTGTTGAGTATGATATTGCTGTAGGCTTGTCATATATTGCTTTTCTTATGTTGACGTATGTTTCCTCTACACCCACACTATCGAGAGTTTTTTTTTTTTTAATCACAAATGGATCTTGAATTTCTTATTAATATCTGCTTTGAGGTTCTACTTGGAAAGTCTTTCCTTAGCACAAGTCTATACAAATATTTACCTATACATAGTATATAAGAATTTAACATACCAATTCATTCAATCATTTATTCACTTGTGCAACAAGCATCTATTGAACACATACACACTAGGCATTGTTCTAAATGCTGGAAATAAAGCAACAAATAAGACCAAGTTTCTTGCTATCATGGAGTTATATTCCAAAAGAAATATGATCATATAGGATATAATTTAATGTGGTTTAAAGTTAATGGGGAAGGAATGTATTATTCAGTATACAGTGCTGCTACTAACTAGTCAACCATTGAGAAAAAATAGATTATTTCATACCTAGGATCAAGTATATTACAAATAAATTAAAAATCTTTATGTTTAAATATTTAAAGCACAAAAATACTGGAAAAAATGTAAGTGAGTATCATATAAAGGAACATCATATGCACTCTTGAACATGACAACTTTAGAGTAAGATCTCAAGGCAACTTTGCAAAGACCTCTTTTTTTTTAACGGAATAGACAAGGTAATTTTTGAACAATAATCTTTATTAGTGTATTTTCAAAGATACATATAATCCTGAGCTAGTGCATTTATACATTTATCATTTACTCCTTGAAGTTTATGAGCATTTTGCCCCAAACTCTCTGATGAGTACATTGTTATACTAATCAGGAACATAATTAAAAATATTATTCTTATCCCTGGAACAGCCAATTGATTTACTCAGATCACCTCATTCTCTAATTCTATTCAGTACTACTTCAAAAGCTTTACCTTTCAGCTAAGTGATTTCTTTTTAAAACTATAAAGATGGGCAGTGCAAGAGGTGATTCTCTAAATTCTAGTGAATTCCTAGAAAACGACATTGCTTTTTATCTTTGATCTGTATTTGGAATAAATTTGGCAATCATTTGACCAGCTATCTTTGAGAAGGATGACAAAAGTAACTACATCTAATTTTAATATTTTAGCCAGTGTAAAATGTCACAGGTTTCCTTCACATTTTAGTATTCCATGTGTGTGTTCTCAGTTGGGTCCGACTCTTTGTGACCCCATGGACTGTAGCCCTCCAGGCTCCTCAGTCCGTGGAATTTTCCAGGCAAGAGTACTGGAGTGGGTTGCCATTTCCTCCTCCAGGGGATCTTCTCGACCCAGGGATCAAACCCAAGTCTCTTGCATCTCCTGCATTGGCGAGCAGATTCTTTATCACTGTGCCACCTGGGAAGCCCCAAGTATTCCATAAATTAAGGGCATGGCAACCCACTCCAGTATTCCTGCCTGAAGAACTCCATGGACAGAGGAGCCTGGCAGGCTACAGTCCATGGGGTTGCAGAGTCAGACATGACTGAGCGACTAAAACACACACACGCGCCCCAATAAGAAAAATTAACCATGATCTAATGAAGAGGAGGACAACCTAATATAGACACATTTTTGTAAACGGTTGAATATTATGAAACATGTTATGTGAAACACTTTCTTCAATCCATAAAGGAATACATAGAGCTGGTTAATATTAAATTTCATAAATCTAGGCCAGAACTTTTATAATTAGTACATTTTCAAACAATGACAAAAATGAAAGACAAAAGTCCTGTGATCTTTGAGAACAAACATTTATCCGACATATCTCCAGCAGTGGACAAATAAATATTTTTATTCTTATATTTTAAATTACTACCAAAATATTATTTATTTCTACAAACAACATAAAACAAGCATACAGTATCTAGAAATGGTCTTTATCTGACAAGAATGTCAAGTCTTTGAAGGTACACTAAACATTTTTTTTCCTGAACAATGTCACTATGATCTTAGGTTAAAGTTACTATAAGCACTTCAAGCAAAATGCATATTGCTTAGATTTTAAAGCAAGCAATTGTGACACTGTTTAATTAAAAAGTGAGTATAAATGTGAAGCTATTACATCAATATTTATAAACACTTCTTGGGAATACTCACAGACCAGCAAGTTATAGAATAATTGATTTAAAAATAATGAAAGCGTGGTGTTATGTGTAATGTTTGGGAACAAATCAAAAATATCTTTAAGAGATGTAAAAGAACATGAAGACCAAGCTTTATTATTTGGAGCTTGAAAACTTAGCAGCAAAACAAACTATTTGCCTATAATGTAGTACAATAAACGTTTGTTCATATAAGGCTCCCAAAGTCTTAAAACTTCATACATAAATGAAAATGAAATCCATTAGATAAATGATCTAAAGATGTCCAGAGTAGCTTATCAAGAACTGCTAGATACCCTCAACTGCATCACACAGTCATAAAATAAGCTTATGCAAAACTATGTTCTGGATAACTCACTCTTATGGCTCCCCAGTAACAAGCTCGGATAAGGCAGACCAAACCTAAGAGATAAGCAATTGCCCAAGAAACATAGGTTGCATGAAATTGTCTTGCAAAATCTTGGGTGCCAACCTAAAATAAAAAGCAATATAAAAATAAAAGGTTAGAAACTGAGAATTTGTGTTGGCTTTTTTGGTGATTTTTATGAAACGTATTCCCGAGATGACAAAATATGACTTGCTGCATTTGTTGACTAATGCTGACAGAGCAAAATTTCATAAAATGACATAGCAGGTTATGTTAACTATAAATTTTATGAAATAAAAATTCCATTAAAACATTTATAAAGGAATTTAATCTATAATCCTGATGCCGTTCCCATATTGATAATAAATCTTTGTTTGACTTGAATAAAAAGAAGAATTTTTAAAATTTTATTTATTTTTAAAAGAAGAATTTTTTTTAGACCATTGTAGCTAAATGAGTATTGCTTCATCTCTGGCCATGGCAAAACTGGTTCTGGCACTAAATAAAAACAAATGGGGCTTTTTGTTAAATGGATGATAAAGTTCCCAGTATCAAGAACGTTCAGAGAGATACCAAGACACGACTTCACTTGGATGAGCAAATTCCACTGAGAACAAGCCCATGGATTGCCTTCAGATTGCTCAAAATTTTTCAGAAGCTTCTGGCCTGGTATGTCAGGGAGGCAGGTTCTTTAGGGGTCAATGAAAGTTGTTCCAAACCTCACCATTTACTACTGATCAAGTTAAGAGGAAAGAATTCTAACAATGAATAGAGTAATACTCACAGTTAATCCAATTCCAATGAAAATACATATCATTCCAATGGTAATATATACACAGCAGCGTCTTCGAGGAAGTGCACTACCCACTGAAGAACTGTAAATTCATGAGAACAAAAAAGAATATTAAGTATTTACATGAAGGTTCTCCATATCATCTTTGTGAGTACTAATCCATGGCTTTGGTAACACATATACTTCCATTTATTTCTTCAACTTGAGAGACAAGAATGTGCATAACAAGAATGATATTTTGGGGGACATTCCTGGTGGTCTGTTGGTTTAGAATTCACCTTTCAATGCAGGGGACGTGAGTTCAATCCCTGGTCAGGGAACTAAGAACCCACATACCGCAGGGCAATTAAGCCCTCGAGCCAGAACTAGAGAAGCCTGCAAACTGCAACAAGAGAAGCCTACTCACTGGAACTAGAGAAAGCCCATGTGCCACAGCAAAGAGCTTGCAGGCCACAACAAAGACCCAGCGCAATAAAAATAAAAATAATAAAAAAGTGATATTTTTAATGAGTTATCTAAATCATAATTAGTGAGTTTGTGTGTGAATCATTGTGGCTTTAAACAAAATTCAAGTCTTGGTCATTGACAACATCCACAAAAACCCACAATAGTCAACGATGATTTTCCAAGATAAAGTTTTATTTCCAAAACACTCTATTTCAGAATGGCAAATAGGTGCTATCTTAAAAATAGCATTTGATTCTCCTACATTTATAACTGTTGGTATAAGTTTAGTGTAGAAAATTTGAATATAAGAATAAAGAATAAAAAGGAAAATTACCTATAATTCCACTACCATGAATACCACTGAACATTTTGGCCTATTTTTCAACAGCCATCTTTTCTAACTTAGTAATTTAGCATAAGCGTTTTTCTACATCATTAAGTATTCTCAAACTAGAATTCTGAAAGATGAATATAACATAACGAATTCCCTACTATTGGACACTTAGCATTGTCCTTCTTGTAAATGATGCCAGCCAAGCTTCCTGCAATGGAGGAGACCAGGGTTTGATCCCTGGGTTGTAAATATTCACTGGAGAAGGGAAAGGCTACCCACTACAGTATTCTGGCTGGAGAATTTCATGGACTGTATAGTTCATGGGGTTGCAAAGAGTCGGACATGACTGAGTTACTTTCACAAGCAACATCTAAAATCATTGTGCTTCTTAAAAAATGAAAGTAGAGGTGATTTACAATGTTTTTTTAAAATTTCTGCTGTCCAGCAAAGTGATTCAATTTTACATATATATATATATATGTATATATATACATATATATATATACACATATAAATTCTCCAATATAAATATAAATTCTTCAATATAAATTCTTCTTTACATTCTTTTCCATTATGGTTTATCACAGGATATTGAATATAGTTCCCTGTGCTACATAGTTGGGCCTTATTGTTTATCCATTCTATATATACTAGTTTGCATATGCTGACCCCAAACTCCCAATCTATTTCTCCCCTACCCCACCACTATGGCAACCAACTTACACTCCCAATAACAGTGTAGGAGGGTTCCCTTTCCTCCACTCTTCTCCAGCATTTGTTATTTGCAGAATTTTTAATGATTTCCATTCTGACCAGTGTGAGGTGGTACCTCATTGTAGTGTTGTTTGCATTTCTCTAATAATTAGCCAAGCTGAACATCTTATAATGTGCTTTTTGGCCATTTGTATGTCTTCAGAAAATGCCTATTTAGGTCTTTTGCCCATTTTTCAATTGTGTTGTTTGTATTGTTGCTGTTGTTTCTATATTTTGGAAAATTTAGCTCTTGTCAGTCACATCATTTGCAAGTATTTTCTCCCAGCCACTAGTTTTTTTTATCATTTTCTTCATGGTTTTTTTGCTGTACAAAACCTTATAAGTTTCATTAGTCCCATTTGTTTATTTTTGCTCTTATTTCNTTGACTTGTTTGATCTCCTTGCTGTCCCAGGGACTCTCAAGAGTCTTCTCCAGCACCACAGTTGGAAGGCATCAATTCTTTGGCTCTCTGCCTTCTTTATGGTTCAGCTCTCACAACTACACAAGGCCACTGGGAAGACTATAGCCTTGATTATATGGACATTTGTCGGCAGAGTAATGTCTCTGCTTTTCAGCACACTGCCTAGGTTTGTCATAGATTTCCTGCCAAGAAGCAATCGTCTTCTGATTTCATGACTGCAGTCACCATCTGCAATGATTTTAAAGCCCAACAGGAGAAACTCTGTTATTATTTCCACCTTTCCCCTTCTATTTGCCATGAAGTAATGCAGCCAGATGCCATGATCTTAGTTTTTTTAATATCTAGTTTTAATCTGGCGCTTTCACTCTCCTCCTTCACCCTCATCAAGAGGCTCTTTAGTTCCTCTTCAATTTCTGCCATTAGAGTGGTATCATCCTCATATCTGAGGTTGTTGATGTTTCTCCCACCTATCTTGATTCCAGCTTGTAACTCATCCAGCTCAGCATTTCTCATTTTGTCCTCAGTGAACAGGTTAAACAGGGTGACAGCAGACAGCCCTATATATATATATATATATAATTATCTGATTTGTCTGTGTACAGCCAGTGTTAACATTATACCATGTGGTAAATTACTCATAGAATGTCTATTGAATAAATGAAATATAGAAATGCATCACTTACTAGGCATAATTTAGGAGTGTGCTATTCCATAAAGGTTACTTTTGCATAACAGAAAAGTAACTTCCTTTAAGTCCCAAATATTTTTAACAATTGATGAATATTGTTGCAAATATGTATCATAAAAATTTCAGCATACTTGAACCAAAACAGAAACATCTGGATGATCTGGGGGTGGGGGGTGGTTATCATTAATTGCGGTAGTATACAGCCTATTATCTGGAGTTAATAGGGAATCTATGATTCACTGCCTGTATGTTATATTTAACCTTTGACTACTTTTAATAACCATGTGTGCATTTGGTAATTTCTCCTGTGTTATACCTCACAGCTGGCCATCATTTCTCATTTACCTACGTATCTGCCTCTGGCGGTCTAATGTACAATGGAAGTGAAAGTAAAAGTCGCTCAGTTATGTCTTACTCTTTGTGACCCTATGGGCTATACAGTCCATGGAATTCTCCTGGCCAGAATTCTGGAGTGGGCAGCCTTTCCCTTCTCCAGGGGATCTTCCCAACCCAGGGATTGAACCCAGATCTTCCGCACTGCGGACGGATTCTTTACCAGCTGAGCAACAAGGAAAGCCCAATCTACCATGGGTTAGAAGGCAACTAAATTAAGTCAAAAGTTTCTAAGTGAATACTGTAGCAGCTTTTCTACGAGCCAAAGGAACACACTTTTGTGTTTAAAGTGTGTTTAAAAACACACGTTAGTTTTCTAATACTTAGAAAACCCGTGCTCATTTTTCATCACTCAACGTAAAGTCTCTACCTCTGGAAAATCTCCACAGGAAAGAAAGAATTTACCGCTACTTTACAACCCAAGTGCCATCTTATCACAAGGAAAGGCAATGACCAAAAACACCTATTGCATGGATAATAAAATCTCTTACACATTTAATACAAATGTGGTATTTGTATGTAACACATAATATTGTTTTGCAAGTGTTAAAATTTTTTACACAAGCGTGTTAAACTGTATGCTTCTGCGACTTGTTTTTTTCCCCCTTGATACTCTACATGACTTTTCTGTATTCACATGCAGAAATTTACTTCATTGATTTTCACAACTATCTTCCATTACACACACACACACACACACACAGCTTGCTCATTCTTCTTGTTGATGGACAGTCAGGGACTTTTGAAAAAAATTTTTTTGCTATTATAACAAGACTGTTTCAAATACACTCTAAATGTTTCCTTATGTAAATATGCAGGAATTTGTCAAACATATACCTAGGAAGAGAATTGCTGGGTTGTACTGTAGACATATCTTTAGTTTTAACAAATGCCAAATTTATATCTCCATCAACACTATATGAGAACTTCTATTGTTCTACCTGTATCTTCATTAACACTTCAACACTTGGTAATGTTCTCAGGTTTGAGAATTTCATGAGTGTGAAAGGTATTTCATTGTGGATTTATTATGTATTAATATATAACTAATTTGTAGTGAGGTTGGACATCTTCTCATATGCAAGTTGACTACTGATTTTTTCTATTAATTGCTTGTTCATACCTGTCACCTCTTTGTCTTGGGCTGTATTTAGATAATTCATAGATGATACTTATATAGTCTGCATACTATTCCATGCAGCTATATATAACACACATATCTCTTTTTTTAAAGCATCTTTTTATATGGACTATTTTTAAATTAAAAGTTTTTACTGAATCTGTTACAATAGTGCTTCTGTTTTGCGTTTTGGTTTCTTGGCCACGAGGCACGTGAGGTCTTAGCTCCCTGACCTGTGATTGAACCCACAGCCCCTGCACTGGAAGGCGAAGTCTTAGCCACTGGACAGCCAGAGAAGTCCCTATACATATCTTCTTATGGTCTGTTTTTACAAATTCATCTTTAATAATGCATTTTGATATGAGTATTTACTAGTGATACCAATGTAATACAAAGTACTTTCAGTATAGTCAAAATACCAATATACCAATCTTTTCCTTTAAGGTTTGTACTTTTTAGGAAATTCTTTTCTACTTCTGTCATAAAAATATTTTTCTACCTTTTCTTCTAAAGGTATTACAATTTTGCTTTTGGCATCGCCAGCTACAAATTGGCACTTGCCAGCTACCTCTACAAGGGTTAAATCACAAGCCACTGCATCTTACTGACCTGCAACACTCCCTGAAAGGAGTTCAGGGCGGAGTTCAGGAATGAGACACTTCGTTCTCTGAGAAAATCTGTCAGACCAGGTCTTCAGATAAGATATTTTCAGGAGAAGATTTTATGGGCCCAATTCTTGCAGCTCCTCATTTCTAGAAAAGCACTCATGTCTACTCCTCTTACGTCTACTAGGGGTAGTAAGAGTCACTAGCAGCACCTAATGACTTCATAAGACTAGCAGCAACCTTCTGCAAAAATCGGTCCTTGATTGCATGTACTGCCCTTTTACCAAAATCACACATATACTGACCGTCCTCCCTACCCC